GGGGAACTAACAAACATTTATATCACCTTATTTATCAGCTGATAAGTCAAATAGTGGCTCATTAGCGATCACCAAATGTACTTGGAAAAATTAAATATGAAATGTTCTCTTTAAGGGATGAAAACGGATGTAAAACTGAAGTATTCTTAGAAATCCTAATTTGTATAAATGTATGCATTTCTTCGTCATATTCTATATGTGTATGTATGTGTGTGTGTGTGTGTGTGTGTGTGTGTGTGTGTGTGTGTGTTTGTGTGTGTGTGTGTGTGTGTGTTCAGATATTTGTGTATGTGCGTAAATGTATGTACACACCACTGTGTAATATGCTGTTGCAATGTGCCAAATTATTATTTTACCCTATCGCATGAGGGCTTCTTGTACAATACATTCTGTTCAGTTCTTTTCCTAGTGGCCAGATTGAATTGATGTTTGTTAGGAGTAAATCTATAACAACTGACATGTACGATGAGTTTTAGTGAATGAATTTCGTTTTATACCTCATGGTTAGCAATATATGTATATGATCGAGTCTGGGTCAGGCAATTCAGTGATTGACAGCATAAGCAAAGATACAACGCGCCGTGGCACAATGCCCCAGGGGCGAACTTTATTCAGTCGACGCTGAAGACATGCAGGCGTGTATTTGTTTGTTTTGGTTTGGTTTGTTTGTTTTAGTTCATGCTTCTATATTGTCACAGTGGCAATAATGTCCGTTCCTTGATCACATATGGACCCGTGAAGATCCGGGTTAGAACAGGTCTTCAGCAACCTATGCTTGTCGTAAAAGGCGACTAATGAGATCGGGTGGTCAGATTCACTGATTTGGTTGATGCGTGTCATCGTATCCCAATTGCGTAGATCGATGCTCTTGATGTCAATCACTGGATTGTCTGGTTCAGACTCAATTATTACCTGACCGCCGTCATATTGCTGGAATATTGCTGAGTGCGGCGTTAAACAATAAACAAACAGACACATTGATGATATATGGGGGTGGTGTAGCAGTCAGTTTGTAGTGATGTAGATAGGTAATCATGTGTGTGTGTGTGTGTATATATATAGGAGTCACGGATGACAGAGCCAGGTTTGGATATAAGTTTTATTCTCATCAAATGGGGAAATGTACACTGATAAAATGATTGATTTACAATTTATGCATTGTACGCATATGGTATTTGTACCTCTTTTTTCACACTATACTAAGTGAAGCGCGTTCACTTCAGTAGTATAGAACGGGTCCGCAGGAACCTTTTTTGGTTGATCCGGTTGATCCAGGCGGATGCGAAGGTGATTGGTTGATCCAAGTCACGTGATCGGATAGGATGACTCATGCATCAACAGCGCGTCACAGGTGAGGGGGAATGAAAGGTGTGTGTTTATAAGACAGAAAAGAATTCATAAGAAAACAAAAGTAAAAGGTATTCAATAGAGCTATGTGTTTAGCGTGCTGCCTTGAATAGACAGACCGTACCCGTCAGCCCAGTTTGAATTAAGCGCGCTTAACAACTGACGTGGCCTCGTCGTTTAACCCGCGCTCGCGAGAGCGTGCGATCTGGTTTGATGAATGCAGGGTGTGTGTTGAAAGTACAAGTACCCCAATAGAGACGGGTTATGTCAACACGATATACACCGTGTAATGTAGGGAAAAAAATGTACGGATCAAATTCATCTTGTACGGTCTACACGTTGTACACCATGAACGTTAGACAACCTATATAGAAAAAAATACATAGAGACAAAATAGATAAGACTACGCAATCAGTAAGCTAGCAGTGTCGTTTAATTACATTTAGCGCGCAAGAACGAGGTAGTCACGTCACCCTGCATTGACTATAACGCTGAAGGCAGCCGGATTTCGAATCACCCCGCGCTGCGTACTATTGTGAACCATTTGTATAGAGGGCGTTCACTTATTCAGCCCTATCCCGACTAGCGTAGTTGATGTTTCAATGCTAGCGTTTCCATTTAACGCGATGACAAATAAACCGTACGGTTTGAGTTTTAACCGTGTATCATGATGTGCACAGTTTTACTTCAGAACGTGCTATTTTGACAATTGATAGTTAGAACCATGTCTATGTTCAATAGAAAACTGATGAGTATACGTACCCGTGTGACGGCACGAAGCTAGGTTTGTTGGGAAAGTGATGGAAGCAATCTATAAGATATTTTCATGTTTACAATACTCACCCTTAATTCGAAGAGAGAACAGAGTTTATCATGGAAAATTGTTTGACGAGGAAAATGTTTTATTGGAAATATAGGTTTATTCATAGCTAATGTATAGCAGAGAGACTAAGCGACCGACCGCCCATAACAATGTCAACATACCCCGGCCTTACAATTAATGTCAACATACCAGCCTCGCCTGAAGCTTCCCATTCATAAATGGTGTGATCAGTGTCCCGTATTTATGATATGTCAGGGAAGATGTGTTGTACATTTGTTATTTTAAAAGGGAGTTATTTCAGAGAGGATATATATGGGTATTCCCCCTCATTAAACCTTTCTTTCGTTGGTGTCTATTAAACGTATCCGGTATTTAATACATTTGAATGATGTAGGAATGTATGTGCGTGTAGATGTTGTACCAATATCCGACCACGAATGTATGACACCTTTCTATAGATCAATTACGATTCTAACCACGACACGCAACATGACTATGAGCGTGGTTAGCAGTTCATATTTATAAACACATCGTAAATGACAGATTTCTGATGAATGAACTCGCCCGCACACATGTCTATAGGGTTATGTTCGCCCGAACTGTAAACAGTGACACATTGATAACAGGAAGGGTGTGTGGAATGCACTCGTCCTTGTAAGGGTAAAATACGCGTTTAAACTCACCATTTAAATGATGATGACATTACTTTTTAGATGTATTGGTATCAGTGAGTGAGTGAATTTAGTTTTACGCCACACTCGGCATTATTCCAGCTCTAGGACGGTGGTCTGTCAATAAACGAGCTTGGACCAGACAATCAAGTGATCAACAGCATGAGCAGCGATCTGTGCAACTAGGAACCGATGGCACGTGTCATCCGAGTCGGCGAGACTGACCAACCGATCCCCGTCAGTCGCCGATAAGCATGGGTTACTGAAGCTCCATTCTATAACCCGGGACCTTCACGGGTGTAGTATGACGAAGACTATATACTAATATGATCGCTTTTTTAACATACTCACAAGTGTGCTGTGAAGAAAAGAGTGTCTTCCAAGATTCCCTGCACGTGTAAGACAGTATAAACTCTACAGTAGTGTAGCCCGACAAACAGTTTTACTCTCGCCAGCAAACGGATTGGACGTGAACAACATGAAGAAAGCATCAGAGATTAGACTTGACCCTAGAGATATATTTAGGAAGACTACGTTGAGAAAATCACAACAGAGAAAGAAACCACAAGCAGCCAAGAAGTCGACGCTGAAGACAAAGAAGAGACAGGTAACACCTAAAATGAAAACGATGACAACCCAACAGGGATCGAAGACAACACCCCAACCCGTGAAAATACAACATGTGTCGGAGGTGAAGGCTGTGGTGGAACGGGCACTTGCTGCCTTGAAGCGTCAACAGAGTCAAGGGTATAAAAGAAAGCTTCATACCCTCTAATCGCACACCGTATTGGATCACCATGGGGGTTGCCACCTGTCCGGACTGTGAAAAAATGTTTTCAAGGAGAGATGTCATGTTACGACACAGGAGAAATAAACATAGCATACCGCCGCTGTTACAAGCCCACCCGCCGCCGCAAGTCCATTCGCCATTACAAGCCCACCCGCTAACGCCGCCGCCGCAAGTCCACCCACCGCCGCCGCTGCGTCAAGCCAACCCGCCGTTACAAGCACATCCGCCGCCGCCGCCGCCGCCGCCGCCGCCATCGCAAGTCCACTCGTGGCTGCCTCACTTACCATGCATATCTGATCTTCGAGAACAATTCAAGTTCCTGATTCCCTCAAATGCGCTCGTCGTGGGACCCAGTGGTTGTGGAAAGTCTGTGTTTACCTCTCATGTACTCCGGCATGGCCTGATTCAACCCCAACCTACCCGCATCGTTTGGTGTTATACTCAATGGCAGCCATTATATCAGGACCTCGGTGAGCAGCTGCCTCAGCTGACCTTTGTCAAAGGAATTCCCTACGATATCTTGGACGAGGATTACTTTGATGCTCGTCAACAGAACGTGTTGGTCCTGGATGATTTCCTGGCCGAAGCAAAGCACGACAAGCGTATTTCGCGGCTGTTTACTCAAACCTCACATCACAAGAATGTATTGATCTTTCTCTTGATACAAAATCTGTTTCCGAGAGGTAAGGAATCGAGAGACATTGCTTTGAACGCGCATTATGTCACCCTGTTTCATTCCCCCATAGATAAACAGCAAATCAAACTCTTCGCTCGTAGAATTTTCCCCGAACTTATGGATCACTTTATGGCTATGTATGAAAAGGTTGCTGAAACTCCCTATGGGCAACTCACCATCGATCTAAAACCTACCACCAAAGATAAGGATCGACTGCATGTTAACCTCATAAATGAGGAAAACAGGAGAACAACAGCACAGTCTGAACCTGATCTGCGTAGGGAGAAGTTGACTACGACAGAATCTCTGGATAGTCCTCTGACACAAGAAGAGAGATTGCCCCAACATCAGCTCACGCCAATTGAAACCGATTCAGACACGAGTAGTGAGACATCATTGACTATGGCCACGGCTTGCGCAGATTGCGGGGTGCTGATAGATAACATGCACGATCTACAGCGACATATCAAACACTGGTGTCCGGCCAATAGCCTTCAACCTAAGAGAAAGCGTGCCAGACTCGAGAGTGATGACGATGACAGTGACTTTGACGACCTACACTCTAAACCCAAGTGTTCCACTTCTGAACACTAGACAGAACACATGGATGTAACACTTTTAGAACGCGTCCATGTGTTCTGAAAATATTCTGAACGTTGATGTTCTCGACCCAGAACAGGAGTGTTCTACAAACATATTTAGAACGCTTCAACGTGTTCTGACGATGTAACGCTTTTAGAACGCCTGTAAAGTGTTCTGGACCGAGATTCAGAACACTACACGTTCTCGGACACGTACTTCCACATTACTGAAACGACAACTCATCGTGTGTGTCGAATACAATTTACCCGATGTTTTTCAAGGTGTAAGAATTTAAACCATACACCCATGCATATTCTCTGGCATAAAATCACACGGACGAAATTCTGAACTGCAACCATGAATTCTTTATTATATTTGTTTGGGATGATCATGGATATTCAAGTCACTTATGAGTCAGAGTTCTTCATGAAACATTACAAACTGTTGTGTAGCAAATTGAAGCATACTTCCATACTTAAGATAACTTAAGTTTCAAGCGCATGTACTTCGCAGATGTTTCTTGTGGGTAAATATCCCCAAAGGACGATGTTCGTAACAGCGACATGACCATCGCAGGCTTCAGGAAACTTCATGTCAAATATGACTCCCCAACATCCTACAACACAAAACATTTATTTGATCATAGTCATATAGTTATCAAACTCGTACATATTACATAGGACATTCTAACAAATGTTCGTTAGTAAACCCAAGATTACCGTGACATTTGTTTCATTATTTATAGGTTGCAAAATGTTTTGCCAAAAATGTCATTTGACTAACAAAGTTACCACTTACTTGGATAAAGGTTAGAGCAAAATATACACAAGTACCTTCTTATTTGATCTGCAAAACCTTGTGTCTTTTCCTCCTTTGTGTAGACGTGTGCCCTGTGCAATAATTTCCATGGATGGTACTGATTATCTGCAATGCACCCTGAAATAGAAACAACAAGACTGATTCTCTAAAATATTTCACATAAAATAGCCAAAAACATGTCCTGTGAAGGTTTAGTTCTTTTTGTTCATTACATACTTACACTACTCTCTGCTGATTTCGATGCATTGTCGATGCTTGCTGATCATGCCCTCGGATCCCAAATTTAGATGTTCAGAGATTTGTTGCACGTAGCCCGCTTCGCACTTTCAGGCGATTCATATAGAACCTGAAATATATATTCATTTTATTTGAACATCATTCAAATAAACGGAAACGTTCAAATAGTGACACTTGCAATTTGGATTGGAATTTCATCTCATAATTTATAAATAAAGCGTGTGGAACAATGGCAGAAATGACGGTCAAAATGGCGAGTAATATGTCGTCTGCTATGCGTTTTGTAAGGGGCCGGTTTTACTTCGTTGGGATCAGCATATGAATATATCGCCGAAATAATACATTATTTTAGGTACGTATTAAATATGAAACAAAAGTATTCCTAGATGGATACTTACCACAGACACCTCAGATCATAGGAAATTGTAGCGCCAAATACATGCGACGTCACGCCAGTTTCTCACATAACGGATGTGAATCACAGAGCATGGACAGCTTTGAATGCTTGTTAGAAAAACAGAACACCGATGTTCTATTAATGGAACACGTGTTCTCGCATATAACATTATAGAACACAGCAGAACACACGCGTTCTAGGAGAGAACGCAGGCGTTCAGCAAATAGACCGTATATGTTCCAGAGCACCCATTAAAGATCCAGCTAAAATTAGCCATCAGAATGCCAGTGTTCTGATACACGTAAATGTCCCCAATGCAAGCAAGTTATTTCCATGTATTAGCAATGAGTTGTATTTCAGTAATGTTTCTTGTTGTATTTATTCAGGCTACATATGAGTTATTATTAACACAAAGTATGCCATGTTTATAAACTATTTATTATTCATCAAACTCAAAATATAACCCTTCTTATACACATTTTCTGTTTGACATACCAATCTACCAGCCTCTCTTCTTCTCAAAAATAAATATTCCGAAAACACAAATATGATGGTCGAATTTAAATTTGTCTAACAGCATTCAGCACATTAACTCTGCTAATGTGCATGGACTTCTCCCGGAGAGAACACACGCGTTCTACATCAGATCACAGGCGTTCAGCAATAGAACACGTGCTGCACGAATTAGAACATTCGTATTCTGTGGCAGAACGTATGGACGCGTCCAGTGTTCTATATTAGAACACATAAATTTAGAGTGTAGCCTCTTCCCAGAAAGGCAGTGGTCTTGCCGTCAAACCTCCACGTGGGAAGTCAACATTCACTAATATGGAAGCCGAGGAGTGGCAAAATGTAGGCTTACAACGCATCTGGAAGCAGGTGTACGATACGTTTCATGTCAAGATGAAACTGCAGAAAAAACAGTACAAGCGACAGGGACGAACGCAAGAATGGATTGAGAGAAGATTGAAACTGAGGTGGGAGGATCTAGTGCGTAGTACTCTCAACTATGCGATGGAATATACCACGTACTTTAAAGAGGCACCTCTGTTTCAAAACATGCTATACAACCTGGGAGACATGAATCCTTCCACGGAACAATCCGTTCTCAAAAATAAAATCAAACTCCTCCTAAAACCCAAGATGAAAGAGATCCTGCCTTTGATGGATATGCCGGAAATAGAAAGTGAGACTGAATCTGATAGCGTTGCAGAGGATAACGACGGTGATGACGAGGAGGAGGATGATGACCGTGAGCAGAACGATTAGGCATAAATACCCATCACTACTATATCAGTCTAACAGTCAGAAGAGAATGCCGAGTCAACGCCACGCGTCTAGTTTGATTCATATTTTGAAAACACCTCGTAAACTGAGGCGTTTGAACGATAAGAAACGCCGAATTTCCCTCTACGTGAGAGGAATGGTGAAACTGGGACCGCCTGGACGGAAATCGTTCCAAGCAATGGATAAAGCATAGACTATAGACAACCATTCAACCTTAAAACAGCGTAGAAAAGGAAACATTCAACAGTGCGAAATGTGTTTCAAAACATGGACTCGCTGTTTAAACAATAGGGCCTTCGAGCAGCAGCAGCATGTGTATATGAGTGACTAAATAATGTTCCAGAGTGAATACTATTGTCCATTCGTATATCACGGCTTTGTATGGAACCGATTGACTCGAATCAATAAATGATACGAATGAATGAATTGTTTGTTTTTTTTCTCAGTTTTTTGCATATGAGTATATAGTCTTCGTCATACTACACCCGTGAAGGTCCCGGGTTATAGAATCGACCTTCAGTGACCCATGCTTATCGGCGACTGACGGGGATCGGTTGGTCAGTCTCGCCGACTCGGATGACACGTGCCATCGGTTCCTAGTTGCACAGATCGCTGCTCATGCTGTTGATCACTGGATTGTCTGGTCCAAGCTCGTTCATTGACAGACCACCGTCCTAGAGCTGGAATAATGCCGAGTGTGGCGTACATCTAAATTCACTCACTCACTGATACCAATACATCTAAAAAAGTAATGTCATCATCATTTAAATGGTGAGTTTAAACGCGTATTTTACCCTTACAAGGATGAGTGCATTCCACACACCCTTCCTGTTATCCAATGTGTCACCGTTTACAGTTCGGGCGAACATAACCCTATAGACATGTGTGCGGGCGAGTTCATTCATCAGAAATCTGTCATTTACGATGTGTTTATAAATATGAACTGCTAACCACGCACATAGTCATGTTGCGTGTCGTGGTTAGAACCGTAATTGATCTATTTGAAAGGTGTCATACATTCGTGTTCGGATATAGGTACAACATCTACACGCACATACTTTCCTACATCATTCAAATGTATTAAATACCGGATACGTTTAATAGACACCAACGAAAGAAAGGTTTAATGAGGGGGAATACCCATATATATCCTCTCTAAAATAACTCCCTTTTAAAATAACAAATGTACAACACATGTTCCCTAACATATCATAAATACGGGACACTGGTCACACCATTTATGAATGGGAAGCTTCAGGCGAGGCTGGTATGTTAACATTAATTGTAAGGCCGGGGTATGTTGACATTGTTATGGGCGGTCGGTCGCTTAGTCTCTCTGCTATACATTAGCTATGAATAAACCTATATTTCCAATAAGACATTTTCCTCGTCAAACAATTTTCCATGATAAACTCTGTTCTCTCTTCGAATTAAGGGTGAGTATTGTAAACATGAAAATGTCCTATAGATTGCTTCCATCACTTTCCCAACAAACCTAGCTTCGTGCCGTCACACGGGTACATGTACTTATCAGTTTTCTATTGAACATAGACATGGTTCTAACTATCAATTGTCAAAATAGCACGTTCTGAAGTAAAACTGTGCACATCATGTTACAGGGTTAAAACTCAAACCGTAGGGCTTATTTGTCATCGCGTTAAATGGAAAAGCTAGCGTTGAAACATCAACTATGCAAGTCGGGAGAGGGCTGAACGCCTTCTATACAAATATGTGGTCACGTGAGTTGTCAAGCGCGCTCACTTCAAACTGGGCTGACGGGTACGGTCTGTCTATTCAGGGCAGCACGCCATACACATAGCTCTATTCAATACCCTTTACTTTTGTTTTCTTATGAATTCTTTTCTGTCTTATAAACACACACCTTTCATTCCCCCTCACCTGTGACGCGCTGTTGATGCATGAGTCATCCTATCCGATCACGTGACTTTGATCAGCCAATCACCTTCGCATCCGCCTGGATCAACCGGATCAACCAAAACTACCTTCTGCGGACCCGTCCTATACTACTCACTTCATAGTCAATAAAATAAATGTTCATGGATAGTATAGTGTTATGAGTGATTATACCAAACCGCAATAAAGTACGGGAGGTCGCTCTTGGAGAAGGCCAACTTAACCAACACCCACTATTATTTGATCTGCATGAGACTCGACGCTGCATGCGTTCAGTCACATGCAGAAGGAAGAACAAGCCAGGTGTGTTGCGGGCCAAAGTCCAACAACTGTTCTTGATGAACAGGGACCCCCTGTGTTAGGAGGGTCTGTTGCAGAGCGGGTCCAACAGTCCGTCATCAAGCAGTAGAGACACACAGGTCGGGGCTACAGACACGTGTAAGGCATGTTTTGGCTGTGTGCGTACTTCTTGACTGCGTGAGTCCTGCCTGGCACATTTAATGGGTTCGGTCTCGATATGAGTCTATGTTCTTATATTGACGAGGGATATTATAACATATTGCATTGATGGTATACCGTTACGTGGTACTTTGACAGTGATAAATATGGTCTTACCATAGGAAATGAATTGGTGCATTATTATAAAAATATCTTAAAGACCTTGTTGAGATGTATACAGTTGTTTTAAAAGATTTCCAAGCGGTATTTTTAAAAACAAAACAAAACCAACGCCCAAAATGCCCCCATTTGGTCACATCCATACAGACTGACTCCAACGTCAAATGATAAACCTGCGTTACAGGTTGTGATATAACTGACACACTATTCAATTCTTTAAGCAGTGTTAATCCTTCTCGCTCATCTTTAGGTGTTTCGTGGATGAAAACTTAACTCATGTAGAGATTAGATTTCTATAAATGTATCCTCATATAATGTACCTTCATTAAACCACCCGACCCGTGAAGATCCGGGGTAGAATAGGTCTTCAGCAACCCATGCTTGCCGTAAAAGGCGACAATACTTGTCGTAAGAGGCGACTAACGGGATCGGGTGGTCAGGCTTGCATGCTGACTTGGTTGATGCATGTTATCGTATCTCAATTACTCAATTACGGTCTTCAGCAACCTATGCTTGTCGTAAGAACCGACTAACGGGATCGGATGATCAGGCTCGCTGACTTGGTTGATGCATGTCATCGATCCCAATTGCATGGATCGATGCTCATGATGGCAATCACTGGATTGTCAGGTCCAGACTCGATTATTTACAGACCGCCGTCAAAAAGCTGGAATATTGCTGAGTTCGGCGTTAAACAACAAACAAACATTAAACCACCCTTTACTGTGTTTACACGAGTTACAGTCATATAGCATTGAACTATATTCTGCTGCTTGTGGTACATTTAGCAAATTATATGAAAAATGCTGTCAATTTCCGATCTTCACAATTGTAAGTATTTGCTGTTGCACTCGTGTACAAAACACCTTCACTTTATTAATTTACGTGGGCCCGAGGCCTTAATACTAAAATAAATGATTGGATTGAAGTATTCAACCGAAAAGATTCGTAAACAAACGTGGAGGACCCGTACAAATGCATTTTCATTTTCATCACGAGTCGGCAATACAGCAGATGTCTGACTGGATTTGGCTAACCAGTATATCGACCGTCAAAATGACAATAAATATATATTCATAAGAATTTATTTACAGTACTATTCACAGTACACTTGTTTCACACATTCAAACATTTTATATCACTCTTGATTCAATATGGTCGCCTGTCAATCATTCATAAAACATTTCAAACATTGAGTTCACATTTGTGCCATGGTTGGGATAATTGGTGACTATCTCTTAAACTAAGCACCAAGATAACACATTATAAGTGTCAGTGAGCTTGTAAGTTTAATTAAAGTTATTTCTTGTTTGTAAAAGCCACTCTGCATTGGTGAAAGGTAATATTCCGTTTTCGTTTCAAGCTGGCTAGTCAGTAATTTTTTAACTTCCGGTTTAAAGCACATGGCATTGTTTACATTTACAAGTTTAGGGGTATAACGCCTAGGTTGGGTGGTGACTGTGAGTTGAGCACGACAAAGCAAATTCCATTCATTAATTCTGTAAAATTAAATTGTGAACGTTGTTTGTAATGATATGCGAATATGCAAGTTTGTTTGCAACAATATAATCGTAAGAATTGTTTTCGCCGAGGCCGGGTTTCAGATTTCGCAATGACATGCAATTATTGGACACACACGGCATGTATGACAGCTTTGGCTAAATTAGTCAGTGAATCAGACCGCTGTACTGTGGCGGTGCTGACTGTGGAATATGATGTAAGGGCATGCGTGGGACGGGTGGTATATATAAATACGAGCAGGATTGTGAGCGCTGCAGTTGAGAAACGGGCTCTCTGCGTGAGCGTTATTCTTAAGACGTATATTTATTTTAAGACGGACATACAGTGACAGGTCTGTTTCTACTGTAGTGTTTACTGTAGGCTGTTTCAATGTATAACAAGGTCGGTGTTGACATAGTTTAGTCCATAAATCATGTCAATTGATATTTAACCTGATTTGATACAATATAGTTTTAGAAACATTTACAAAAGAAATCTTGTGAAAATGATTTCTTCAAACAACAGCAATGTTTTTAAGTGAGCCTTTTGAAAAGGTGATTTTGAATTTTGCTAAAAACAATTGAATATGTAACATTTTGCAATTATAAAAATGGTGAACTGCATCAGGTTTTGGAGGCAGCAATGCTTTTTTGAGGTTCCTGAAAATGATTAAAGTAAGCATGAAATGAATGAGAAGTACTGGTTGTGCTTGTGTGCATTTGTTCTTGTGTGGTCAACAAACACTGACATATTATTTATGTTTATAGTGACATATACTGCTGGCATGGACTGATCTAAATGTGCTATCAGTTCAAAGGGAAACGGGGCACGGGTGGCCCAGTCGTCTAAGGCGCAACGATTCGCTGTGCAGAGTTGTGTCCCTTGGGCACGCCAGAAACCTATGATTGTGGGTTCGAATCCCGGTTCGCCCCGATTATGTTTCTAGGTTTGTCAGCACCATACCTGTGCTCGTGGGTTTCACCGAAGTGGTAAACGTCTGAGGCCTGCATCACTTCGGGCTTTCCTCCCACATTAAGCTGACACGCCACAATATAACTGGAGTACTGTTAAAAGCGGCGTTAAACTCAACTCACTCACTCACTCGAAGGGAAACAACATTCCAACTCTTGGTTGTCTCACAGGCACCGCTTCAATTAGCCTGTATAATAACCAGATGACAATTAGCGCTGTTCACAGTCAAATCTTTTATCCGTGAAGAAATATATGTCAATACTTTCAAAGTTGGATTGTTGTTGCCCATGAGGTTGGAATGGCTTTGTCATTGCATCTTTCTGGCCAGTGAAGGAAAGACAAACAGATGGCCCATTTTATAAGTGCATATAGATATGTTAATTCAATAGTGGTAGAATGTCTGGCCCAAGAGCAGAAGGTCTGGGGTTCGATCCCTGTCCGCGTCATTCCAAAAGATGTTAAAAGATGGTACTTCTTGTTATTCAGTCTGGCGCTAAGCTTTATGGGGCTAAAACAAGGACTGGTCGGCTCGGAGTCAGTATACTGTGTCTTGTGTGGGGAATTCTCGGTATCTCAGTGAGCTAGCACTATAAATCCGCATCAGTCCGGACTAGTACAAGCAGCCACACACACACACACACACACACACACACACACACACACACACACACACACACACACACACGTGCATGTGTTTAACTCCATTTCACCTCACCTAACCAATATTTATTATCCCTGCTAATTCATTAAAGGAACTAAAAAAATTGGAATATTATTGATCACAGATTCCCTGGTCAATTTCTTGGTTTGAAACTGATGCCAATCAAGTATCTATGAAATGGATATATGATTATCCCCTTCCCCAGTGAATTTGGCAGGGGATATAGAAACAGACTCTGTCCATCCGTCCGTCTGTCACATTTCGTTTCCAGAGCAGAAATCGTAAGAGGGGACTTTACAAAACTTGGTACACACATTCACCATATGGTGTAGATGTGCCTTATGCTATTTAGGTTTCCCCTGCATTTTTAATATATTGTACATAAATTTTCTAAATTTGGATTGAATGGAAGCAGTGGGTTTCATTTCCAGAGCAAAACTATTAGAGACATCTTCATGAAGCTGAGTACACACATTCACCACATCGTGTACATGTGCATTTTGCTATTTATAATTCCCCGAAGTTTTCTTTCATTTTATATGTATTTTATAAATTTTGGCTTAGTCCCTGAACTGAATGAAAGCAACGGGCCTTTTTTACAGAGCAGAATTAGAAAATAATTTAAGAGATATATTTAAGAAACTTGGTAAACACATTCACCATATAGTGTAGATATCCCTTTTGCTATTTACTTATGAGTTCTCCAATTATTAGGTTTTATGTTAATTTCATAAATTTAGGCTTGAACTGAATGGAACCGATCTTAATTTTACTTGAGTTCTGTTATGTACTTTTCCATGAAACTTTGTACGATATCAGTCTAAGGCTGATGTCTTTGTTCTTTAAAGATATTAGAATTATGTTTTATTTTCTTATTTCAATTAAATGGCACACCAGTAGTCACTGCAACAAACAAAGCTATAAAAGCATTCATAGGAATTGTATTAGAAATTCACCAGGTTTTGAGGGGTGAGCATTCCCACAACTTTTGTACCTTAGCTGTATCGTGTACCTTAGCTGTATCGTGTACCTTACTCTGGTAACTACCGGTATAACAATGCTCTACAATACAATTCATGCCATGCTATCTAAATGAGAAAATTGTACAGTGCTCAAGGATACAAAATATTCTTAGCCTTAACTTAATGGAAGATGATTATAATATTTGTTTATCATTAGTCTTACTAAAGCAGATATCTGTACAAAGTTTTATGGAGATGTTATACAGTAGCTCTTGTAATAACCTCCTCCACAAACAGGTGGACCAACTGATAATTTACAATGTCACTTTTGGTTGCACATATCATTGTCTTTAAGATTGGACAATGGGAGGTGGATATAGATGACTTGGTCTGCTTGTTGACAATGAAGTGAGATCTTAATTCATAAATGTTGTCTTTGAAGTATTTGTAATCGATTGAAAAACATGCTTCCTTTGCTTGTCAGAGGTAATGTACCATCCATGTTTTAAAGGGATTATTGGGTCGGTGGTTAAAGCGTTCGCCTGTCATGTCGTAGGCCTGGGTTCAATTCCCCACATGGGTACAATGTGTGAAGTCCATTTCTGGTGTCTCTGCGCCGTGATATTGCTGAAATATTGCTAAAAGCAGTGTAAAACCATACACACCCACTAAAGGAATTATTCTGAATTATGGTTTATTGGCTTTGAAGGTCAAAGTCTCTACCAATTACCAAATACTTGTAACCACAATATCTTAAGATTTTCTATTCTATACCCAACACCTGACCACCGAAACAAAGTTGAATAATGTTTGGTTGACATTTAAGAAGTTTACGTCCCCAAAGTTCAAACACAAGTGAATCTGATTATGGGAAAGGCCAACAAGTCAGTCACTATGAAAAACAGTGACTCTTTTTCCATGTTATCTAATTAATATCAGTTTCTAGCATCACTATGAATAAGAAAAGAAATAGTTTTCTGTATGGATGACTTTGATTGGAATAACAGACAGCAGGGAAATAATATTTAGGCTTAGTAGTCATTATTCTTTTAGACATATGAAGATCCATGGTAGAATAGGTCTTCAGAAACCCATGCTTGCCTTAAAAGGCGACTATGCTTGTCGTAAGAGGCAACTAACGGGATTCGGAGGTCAGGCTCACTGGCTTGGTTGATGCATGTCATCGATGCTCATGATATCAATCACTGGATTGTCTGGTCCAGACTTAGTTATTTACAGACCACCGTCATATAGCTGGAATATTGCTGAGTGCGGTGTTAAACAACAAACAAACTAACAAACAAAACATTATTCTTTTGGAATTATTATACCAGTATTTCAAAGTTTGCTGTAAATTTTAAGTCCATCATCACCAGAAGGGTCATGTAACTAAACAAAAATCTTCTCAAGGCAAGGCAGTTAACGGACTGTAAAAGTCAAGCTCCCACCCTTGCCAAACTGGGCTGGAATTATGGAGTTATATTTTGGCTGTACTAATGAGTCTATGCATAGTCCAATCAAACTCATCTAGTTAGGAAACAACATGAATTTCAATGTGCAGAATTTGATCGACTGCAGGATTTGCAAAGCATGTGTACCATCAACTGGGTGTCGACAGATATTTTTCAAAACTTTTCATGCTTTTAATCAAGGTTCTCAAATGATTTGATGCACATAGCGAGGTAAGTCTTGGGTTATTACCATATAGATCTTGATTATCAAGCAGATCGTTTGACTGGGTGCTGCCATTTTGTTTGAAGCAAGTGATGTGAGAGGTGGAATCTGATTGGTCAGTAGGAGCGACATAGAAGGAACACAACTTGTAATAGCCACTGGTGGCACTACGATACAAGCCTTTTAGTTGTAGATTTCTAGAACAATGTCACACCATTTGTACCCAGATGACAACACTGGACAAGGGGGAATACTTTAAGCAGATAATAGTCACTTCCAATATTGAGTAAATGCTTTTCTTTTTTCATACTTTCAGTTGTCTGTAGTAAGTCTGTCACCAAAGACTGAAAATGTCAGAATATGAGGCAGTATTGACAGGCTTGCGGCCATTTGGACCATACCAAATACGGGTTTTCATACTGGTGTCTGCGTTTGAGACCCCTCTGGCCTGGGCAATGTTACTGCCGATATTCACGTCCGCCAAGCCGCCCTGGACATGTGGATCGGTCAGTATGGACACGGGATATTCAGTCAACTCCACATCGCTCAGGGCATCCAATTCATCTAATGTGTCAGCGGTGGAAGCAGCAGCATGTCTACCCAGTGGGCAGCTTTGTCCTGGGATGAGGTTCTCTGATGAATTCACATCCATTCTAAGTGAAGTAACTATGACTTTTGTATAGCATATTCAAGTAGTCACTGAACATGTTGTAATGGCATTATCGGGGGTGCTGAATAAAGAACGTAATGACACACTTTGTCTTGACACAATACATGTCCAGTCTCTGACCACAGCCATGGTTCAAGGCAAGTCCACCAATTGCCCACAGAAAACTGACTTCCCAAAAAATTGCACTAAAATAATATTACTCAGGACAATTATCTGAGGAAATATTCCTTCTGTAAAGTGTTAATTCTTTCAAACACTGAAGTGCCCTCTCTATTTGTTTTATCTTATAGCTCCTGAGAATAAATGGGTATTTAGAAATGTAGACTGTAAGCAATCCCTGTTACATAGGTGTGGGTGTAGTTGTTTGTTGGTTTGTTGTTTAGCGCAGCACTCAGCTGTATTCCAGCTATATGACGGCGGTCTGTAAATAATCAAGTCTGGACCAAACTATCCAGTAATTGACATGATGAGCATTGATCGACGCAACTTGGGATACAATGACATGTATCAACCAAATCAGCAAGCCTGACCACCTGATCCGTTAGTTGCCTCTTACAACAAGCAAGGGTTGATGAAGACCGATTCTAACCTGGATCATCATGGGAATGGGAGTAGTAGTGTATACTACAGGTGCAGACTGAATATAATGACCTCCTCGTGGGTAGTGGTTCAACTTCAGGATTGGAGGCATTATGTTACATAAGTATAATCCTTTAATTACAGAATCAGCATTATCAAGTGTTTCAATACACATAGGCATTGGTACTTATATAATATTTTGTTGCAAATATATCATGGTGACAGAAAATATGTGCCTTCAGTCCTTGTCCGTATTCTTGGTGTCAAATTTAATGACAGTCCTCCTCATATAATTTTATTGTTCACAAGTATGGGTTTTTGGTTTTTGGATGCTTAAGAAACATTCATAGTTTTTTCTCTAATCAAATGAACAAATGTAAAACATCTCATTCACTTTTAAAAGACAACTTTCTCTTAAAAACAAACCATCATCTAAATATATTAACAATGTCTGTGTGATGCTACAGCCCCTGTTATAGCACGACTAATCACGATAGACATGGACGTCTGAAACATATAATGTCCGAAAACATGTCCGACAATATGTCCCCTTGAAAAAAATCACTTCATGTGTTATGATGTTCCAGTTATAAAATGATGTTCATATTTCAGTGGTGGAATAATGATGTCGATATTTCAGTGATAGAATGATGTTGTGGATGTTTCAGTGGGGCTTGGTGTGTTCTCGGAGCTACATTCCCAACCTCATCACATCGATACAGATGGTGGGTGTCCTGGTGGGAGCGGTGGCCACTGGTCAACTGGCGGACCTGCTGGGCCGCAAGAAGATGCTGTTTGTGGAGTATACCCTGCTGCTGGTTGTGTGGTTTGGTAGCGCCTTCGCCAACTCCTGGGAACTGTATGCAGCCTTCCGCTTCATCGTGGGGGCTCTTGTTGGAGGTTTGCAGTGTTTTGTTTTGATTGGAAATGTTTCGTATTTTGAAACTCGTTTTATGATTGATGTACCCATACCAATCACAGATTGTACTGTACATTTGGTCATGTTGGTAGAACTGATAGATTCCAATTGAAAAGTGCATCATGCCTCGTGTATCTTAACCAGTCACTGATTGGTGCTTCTAAAAAATAGTGGTCAATGACCACAATGCAAGGTTTTGAAAAATAGGACTTCCTGGAGAGGTCGTCGCAAGCATGCAAGGCGGGTCATAACAAAATTTACAGTATAATTTCTAGGAATTGTTATGAAACAGGTTCTCAAGTTAAAATACCAAACTGTCAAGAAACAGGTGGGTGAAAAGAATTGAATGCCCACTAAAAAATTGTGGATACCAGGGTATGAAGCTCCCAAAAATTTCAGCCAGACCACAGGACTGGCTAGCTGAAAAACTTGCCAGCCCTGACCAAAACCTGCCTGCCCACTATTATCATATGTTTCTCAGGATAATTTAATTAAAACTTTAAATCGAATTCATTGAACATGAAGTAATGCAAGAAAAGAAATAGCAAACACTTTTAAGGGCAGATTTGTATTTAATATCCTAGAAGACATCATGTAAATATCCTTATTCCTAAATAGGGCCTCATGACTTTCAATCAATGTCCATATCACTGTCAGTGTCATTGTGATTGTCACTTCCTTCAATTTAAATTTAGTATTTAAAAACTGATTATGATGACAGCTGCTTCAAATGTTATTTTGGGGTCATGGGTGGCTCAGTGGTCTTCAGGTCCTGCTGTTCCCAGGATTGCTGGTTTAGATCCTGGATTTTCCCCCATTGTGTTCTTTGGTTTAATAACACCCCACTTGTGCTCATTGGTTTCACCAAAGTGGTCAAGGTCTGTGACCTGCATAACTTTCAACATTCCTCCCACATTATGCTGACACATCTTGACCTAACTACCATTCTTGTTGTGATCTCAAGCTTAGTTGATCAGATGTGAATTTGTGATTATGGTTCAGTGAGCTCCACAAAATACACTGCAGATGAGGATAGCTGTTACTGTTCAATGAACTGTATGGCTTCATATGACTTTCAGGAACGCTAGTGGTCAACTTTGTTCTGCCGCTGGAGTTCGTCACGCCGGCCTGGAGAACGTTCTGTGGCTGCATCGGGTTTTGGGCAGTGGGCCTCATGACCCTGGCGTTGTGGGCATTCTTCATGCGCGACTGGCGCCACCTCACTATGGCAACATCGGCATCAGGTGTCTTCTTACTCTTTACATGGTGGTAAGTATGAACTCTGGTCTACATGTCATTAAAGAATAAGAATCACATTTTCTGTCTTGTATTTTTGTGGAGACTGTAAAGCATAAAGGATGTAAAACACAACAAAGTGTCTCTACGTGTGTTTCTATTAAGGTGATAATGCTTTTTATCCTCATGATCATATATGGGATAATGTTATCAATGTGATACAACAGTCGGATAAATCTGTTATCAGGATCTGATAATTATGCAGATAAGGTGTCCCAGCAGGAACAACCTTTAATGAGCGCCATACATCGATGTGATGCCTACTTGTATAATGTTCTTAATGTGTATGGATTGGTGTTTCCTGATGTTGTTGATCTAAGTAAGCATGGCTGCAAATCAGGTGTCACTATTTACAAAATAATGTTTACGTAATCAAGCATTGTGTTCAATTGTTTCAAGAATAATGTCTTCATAAAGACATTATTACCCATGTGTGTATCCCATGGTATAAATATCATATGTTAGAAATAAGACAAATTATAAAACATATTTATGTGATATTTACAATATGGAAACACACTTGGCTCTCAATGGAACAATGTTATTCAGAAAACACCCCTTCCTGTAAGATCACATTAAGGAACATAGTACGTTCACAGAAATATCTGTTGATCCAGGAAATATCAAGATCTGTTTCTACGCATTAGAAAGAAATGCCCATAAGTTATATGAGATTTAATTGGCTCTATAATTGGGATTCGTTATCCAATGACGGGTGATGTATGTGATGTCAAACTGGGGAATGTTAATTTCACCATGTGTAGATGTCAGTCTTTGTTTCAACACCTTGCCTGCCATAATGTGGCTGGAGTATTGCAATGAGTTCACCATATCTACACAGGTTCATACCTGAAAGTCCAAGATGGCTCCTAAGTCAGGGAAGATTCAAAGACGCCGAAAGGATTTTGACAGCCATGGCAGCAACCAACAAGCGCCCATTACCTGACCTTTCCCCTCTCCAACTCTTTGTTGAGGTACGATACTCTGATTTACCATTTACAGCAGACACTGGTGACACATTCTAGTGGAGAGGTACAGAGAGGCTGCAGGATTGCCTCATGTGGTACAGTGTAGTCCCAATGTGCAATGTGCCTTATCTCTGGTAGGCTTTCCCTTCCACTGCGCCTAGACTCTGTGTGGGCTTTGCCCTCCCCCTTGTCTCTGTGTAGGCTTTGCCCTCCCCCTTGTCTCTGTGTAGGCTTTGCCCTCCCCCTTGTCTCTGTGTAGGCTTTGCCCTCCCCCTTGTCTCTGTGTAGGCTTTGCCCTCCCCCTTGTCTCTGTGTGGGCTTTGCCCTCCCCCTTGTCTCTGTGTAGGCTTTGCCCTCCCCCTTGTCTCTGTGTAGGCTTTCCCTTCCCCCTACCTCTTGTCTCTGTGTAGGCTTTGCCCTCCCCCTTGTCTCTGTGTAGGCTTTGCCCTCCCCCTTGTCTCTGTGTAGGCTTTGCCCTCCCCCTTGTTTCTTTGTAGGCTTTGCCCTCCCCCTTGTCTCTGTGTAGGCTTTACCCTCCCCCTTGTCTCTGTGTAGGCTTTGCCCTCCCCCTTGTCTCTGTGTAGGCTTTCCCTTCCCCCTACCTCTTGTCTCTGTGTAGGCTAAACATGTTATGCTGGGACATCACATTGTATGTAAGACCTACACACATTGTGCTGAGACATGACACTGTACATAAGACCTACACATGCGTTGCTGGGACATTACACTGTATGTAAGACCTAAATATGCTATGCTGGGACATTACACTGTATGTAAGACCTAAACATGTTATGCTGGGACATTACACTGTATGTAAGACCTAAATATGCTATGCTGGGACGTTACACTGTATGTAAGACCTAAATATGCTATGCTGGGACATTACACTGTATGTAAGACCTAAACATATTATGCTGGGACATTACACTGTATGTAAGACCTAAATATGCTATGCTGGGACATTACACTGTATGTAAGACCTACACACATTATGCTGGGACATTACACTGTATGTAAGACCTAAATATGCTATGCTGGGACATTACACTGTATGTAAGACCTACACACATTATGCTGGGACATTACACTGTATGTAAGACCTAAATATGCTATGCTGGGACATTACACTGTATGTAAGACCTAAACATGTTATCCTGGGACATTACACTGTATGTAAGACCTACACACATTATGCTGGGACATTACACTGTATGTAAGACCTAAATATGCTATGCTTGGACATTACACTGTATGTAAGACCTACACACATTATGCTGGGACGTTACACTATACGTAAGACCTAAACATGCTATGCTGGGACATTACACTGTACATAAGACCTACACATGCTATGCTGGGACATTACACTGTATGTAAGACCTAAACATGCTGTGCTGGGACATGACGCTGTACATAAGACCTACACACATTATGCTGGGACATTACACTGTATGTAAGACCTACACATGCCATGCTGGGACATTACACTGTATGTAAGACCTACACATGCTATGCTGGGACATTACACTGTATGTAAGACCTACACATGCCATGCTGGGACATTACACTTTATGTGAGACCTACACATGCCATGCTGGGACATTACACTGTATGTAAGACCTACACATGCCATGCTGGGACATTACACTTTATGTGAGACCTACACATGCCATGCTGGGACATTACACTGTATGTAAGACCTACACATGCCATGCTGGGACATTACGCTGTATGTAAGACCTACACATGCTAGGCTGGGACATTACACTGTATGTAAGACCTACACATGCTATGCTGTGACATTACACTGTATGTAAGACCTACACATGCCATGCTGGGACATCACATTGTATGTAAGACCTACACACATTGTGCTGAGACATGACACTGTACATAAGACCTACACATGCGTTGCTGGGACATTACACTGTATGTAAGACCTAAATATGCTATGCTGGGACATTACACTGTATGTAAGACCTAAACATGTTATGCTGGGACATTACACTGTATGTAAGACCTAAATATGCTATGCTGGGACGTTACACTGTATGTAAGACCTAAATATGCTATGCTGGGACATTACACTGTATGTAAGACCTAAACATATTATGCTGGGACATTACACTGTATGTAAGACCTAAATATGCTATGCTGGGACATTACACTGTATGTAAGACCTACACATGCTATGTTGAGACATTACACTGTATGTAAGACCTACACATGCTATGTTGAGACATTACACTGTACATAAGACCTAAACATGCTATACTGGGACATTACACTGTACATAAGACCTACACATGCTATACTGGGACATTACACTGTATGTAAGACCTACACATGCTAGGCTGGGACATTACGCTGTATGTAAGACCTACACATGTTATACTGGGACATTACGCTGTATGTAAGACCTACACATGCTATGCTGGGACATTACACTGTATGTAAGACCTAAATATGCTATGCTGGGACATTACGCTGTATGTAAGACCTACACACATTATTCTAGGACATTACACTATATGTAAGACATAAACATGCTATGCTGAGACATTACACTGTATGTAAGACCTAAACATGCTATGCTGAGACATTACACTGTATGTAAGACCTACACATGCTATGTTGAGACATTACACTGTATGTAAGACCTACACATGCTATGCTGGGACATTACACTGTATGTAAGACCTAAACATGCTATGCTGAGACATTACACTGTATGTAAGACCTAAACATGCTATGTTGAGACATTACACTGTATGTAAGACCTACACATGCTATGCTGGGACATTGCGCTGTATGTAAGACCTACACACATTATTCTGGGACATTACACTATATGTAAGACATAAACATGCTATGCTGAGACATTACACTGTATGTAAGACATAAACATGCTATGCTGAGACATTACACTGTATGTAAGACCTAAACATGCTATGCTGAGACATTACACTGTATGTAAGACCTACACATGCTATGCTGGGACATTACACTGTATGTAAGACCTAAACATGCTATGCTGGGACATTACGCTGTATGTAAGACCTACACACATTATTCTGGGACATTACACTATATGTAAGACATAAACATGCTATGGTGGGACATTACACTGTATGTAAGACCTAAACATGCTATGCTGAGACATTACACTGTATGTAAGACCTAAACATGCTATGCTGGGACATTACGCTGTATGTAAGACCTACACATGCTATGCTGGGACATTACACTGTATGTAAGACCTAAACATGCTATGCTGAGACATTACACTGTATGTAAGACCTAAACATGCTATGTTGAGACATTACACTGTATGTAAGACCTACACATGCTATGCTGGGACATTACGCTGTATGTAAGACCTACACACATTATGCTGGGACATTACACTATATGTAAGACATAAACATGTTATACTGGAACATTCACTGTCTGTAAACATGATAAGACCTTCACATGCTATGTTGGGACATTCACTGTACGTAGGACAAGATGGGAATGTTCATTAGGGATGGAGAAATGGCCCTGATATTGCTTGCGTCTCACTGCTAACACTTCCAGATATGATTTGTTATCAATTTTCTCTTCAAACATATGATGCACCTTAATTCAATGTGACTATTTTGAGCTCAAATTAAAAAGTTTCATCAGAGGTAAGGAAAATAGACTGAAGTTGTTATCTTATCAGAATGATCATATCAAAATATTGAAATTTCAGAGGGAACACAGAAAAGTTGCAGAACAGAAGAAATATTCTTACTTTCATTTATGCAGTTCCTGGAAGTTGACTCGAGGGTCTCTCTTCCTCATGTATGGATGGTATGTGATTTCACCTTCTGGTTTCGTGTGTGCTTTGCTTGCAGAGTTGTGTCCCTTAGCTATGCCAGGATCCTCGGGTCATAGGTTTAAATCTGAGGTTCATCCTTCTGTTCTTCTAAATGTGCTCATGAGCTTCAAACAAGTAGTTAGTGTCAACAACTTGTGTCACACAAGCGTTTCCTTCCACATTAGGTGGATACATATATATATATCCTTGTGGTATGGGTTTTGAGCCCCTAAGAAGTATTTCTCATTACCTGTCTAATAACAATCCCAATACACCACAAGTAAGTCTTACCTTTGAGAACGTTTATTTCTGTTAACACTTGGATGGTCAAATGACCATGTTTTGTTAATTTTAAAGCGTGATTTTGATCCCCTCCATTAGAGTCAAGTTAAAAATAGATGCACAACATGGTCAGTCACATGACATTACAGACAGGAAGTTTACAAACATCAGCCGATATAGTTATCGGTACATATGATTGTTCCAAATCAAAATTATCATCAGATCAAGTTTGATTAAATGATGATTAATGAAAGAGGATGTTTGTGTTCATTGCTTATTGAATGTCTTTCCTTGTGTAGCTTAATTCGCAACATAACATCAGTGGCAAGTGGCGAACACTTTCATGTCTTCCATGGGCTTTGAAGCGTCTACCTTGAATACATTGTTAATATGTGTGGTCATGAATTGTTAAGGGGCTCGAAAATGTGGGGATGTGGGGATATATGAAACATTCTTTAAAGCAGCATTGCTTACTCCCTCACCTGGGGTCAGGAAGGACATGGTTAGGATTAATTAGCATAGCCTGCGCACATTATGAGATGTATAATTAGTTTATTGATGGGTTCTTGTTGAGAATTGTTTCATCATGTTAAAACTGCACTTTTCATTAGTTGGTATATTATTCAGCAAGGGACAAAATTCTTATTCTGCCTATTATTTCATTTAGGCATCTATAACTTTAGTAGTGACAATATTTGTATTAATGTTACTGATTTCATTGGAAGTGCTATTTTTGTGATCATATTGTATATGCTTTTTAGCTGACTGGACTTAAATTTAAGTCAAGTGAGCTTATGTCATTGGGCATTGTCTGTCCGGTTGCTTATCTGTCATTAACCTTTACATTGTTTACATCTCTTTGCAAGACCCATGAATGATCCCAACTGTGTTGTCCCTAAATTGTGCTCACAGGATTCCAATGGTGGCCATATTAAAGTTGTCATTTTTGCCCTTTACTCATTTTTTCTGCATGTATCATTATGAAATTTGATATGCTTCAAGTTTGTGGTATGCGGTGTGAAACATTATACATTTTTTGGAACATTTTGAATTTAGAGCTGTCTTCACATACTCCGTTTTGCTTGTGTTACTGCATTTTTTTAATCTCATCTGAAACTGGCCTATGGAGCTGTAGTAATGATCCCAGCTATGATGCCTCAACATTGCACACAGATTTCAAGTCCTACTTTGAACATGGACGTCATTATTTTTTCATAATTCAGGTGAGCTACAGAGCCTTGTGGCTCTATTGTTGTAGCTTCTTTGCATGCAATATTGTAAACATTGTTAACCATACATTATGAGAGAGAAAAAATAAATTACAAAACAAATCAGCAAGGTTTTGTTGAAATTATTGTACGGAAGGAAAGATTCTGTTTTTCTCCTGATTGTTACACCTCAAACTTTGAAGTTATGTTTTCCCCTTACCATTGTCATCCCCCAACTAATTGCTGCCTCACCTTGGTGACATCTCTTCTTCAGGTTTGTGTCAAGCTCTGTATACTATGGTCTCAATTTCAACTCCAAGAACCTCTCAGGAGATCGCTATCTGAATGTCTTCCTGTCTGGCTTGGTGGAGATCCCTGCTCTCATATTTGTTGCCCTGGTCAACAACAGTCTCGGTCGACGGAAGACCACCACTCTCCTGATAATGATGGCTGGAGTTTTCTGCTTCTCCATCCTCATCCTAGATGTCGCTGGTAGGTCTCCGACAGATGTTGTTGATTTATGACATAAATGTAATGTACATATGTCAATCTGCTCATTCAGCTTTTCATTTTTTCGCGGTCATTCACAAATTGATATTTATTAGTTTTCACCATTACCATGTTTCTGTTTTCCTCAAGATGTCAAGCTGACGTCACTGACTTTAGTGTTTGCCCTGCTCGGCAAGGCTGGTATATCTGGGGGCTGGGCGGCAGTGCAGGTCTTCTCAGCAGAAACATTCCCAACTGTAGTCAGGTGAGTCAGTCAGCCCATGGATGTTCACTTGTAACTTGTGCACTTCTTATTAGGGAGGAAAGGTAGGGTAGCTGATGACTAAGGCACTGCAATTGGAACTAAGATAACCGGTCCTGTTTCACAACAGCGCTATGACTATTGCATGTTTGTCTGTCCCAAAGTCACGCCAGCTAGGATCATCTGATGATCATAATCTGAATGCAAGAGTCACACTCAATATGATCCTGGATCTGTCAGCACCATATCCATCCTCATGGGCTTTTCTGAAAGTGCTAAACAGTTGCGGCACTTTGGGCTTTTATCCCACGTGCTGACATATTGTGATCTTTTGCAAACACCTGCAGGGTGTGAACATTGATGAAACTGCACAGCCACCATGCAGGGTGTGAACATTGATCGAACAGCACAGCCACCATGCAGGGTGTGAACATTGATGAAACTGCACAGCCATCATGCAGGGTGTGAACATTGATCGAACAGCACAGCCACCATGCAGGGTGTGAACATTGATGAAACTGCACAGCCATCATGCAGGGTGTGAACATTGATGAAACTGCACAGTCGCCATGCAGGGTGTGAACATTGATGAAACTGCACAGTCGCCATGCAGGGTGTGAACATTGATGAAACTGCACAGTCGCCATGCAGGGTGTGAACATTGATGAAACTGCACAGCCATCATGCAGGGTGTGAACATTGATGAAGCTGCACGGCCCCCATGCAGGGTGTGAACATTGATCGAACAGCACAGCCACCATGCAGGTTGTGAACATTGATGAAACTACACAGCCACCATGCAGGGTGTGAACATTGATGAAACTGCACAGCCAACATGCAGGGTGTGAACATTGATGAAACTGCACAGCCACCATCCAGGGTGTGAACATTGATGAAACTGCACAGCCACCATCCAGGGTGTGAACATTGATGAAACTGCACAGCCAACATGCAGGGTGTGAACATTGATGAAACTGCACAGCCACCATCCAGGGTGTGAACATTGATGAAACTGCACAGCCACCATCCAGGGTGTGAACATTGATGAAACTGCACAGCCATCATGCAGGGTGTGAACATTGATGAAACTGCACAGCCACCATCCAGGGTGTGAACATTGATGAAACTGCACAGCCACCATGCAGGGTGTGAACATTGATGAAACTGCACAGCCATCATGCAGGGTGTGAACATTGATGAAACTGCACAGCCACCATGCAGGGTGTGAACATTGATGAAACTGCACAGCCACCATGCAGGGTGTGAACATTGATGAAGCTGCACAGCCACCATGCAGGGTGTGAACATTGATGAAACTGCACAGCCACCATGCAGGGTGTGAACATTGATGAAACTGCACAGCCACCATGCAGGGTGTGAACATTGATGAAACTGCACAGCCACCATGCAGGGTGTGAACATTGATGAAGCTGCACGGCCACCATGCAGGGTGTGAACATTGATGAAACTGCACAGCCATCATGCAGGGTGTGAACATTGATCGAACAACACAGCCATCATGCTGGGTGTGAACATTGATGAAACTGCACAGCCACTATGCAGGATGTGAACATTGATGAAACTGCACTCCCACAATACAGGCAGGATGCAGGAACGTGCAGAGAAACAACATTGGGATGATGTAGTCCAGAATAGTACATCTGTTGTTTGCTAATCGAGAACAAATGGTGATATTTCATGGCGTCGACATTTGAAGTGCTAATATATAGGTTAAGCAGATAATGTTTTAATTCTTTAGTAAACCAGTTAAGTAATAGCCAGGGGAGCTACACATTTCAGTGTACTCCTTCATCTGGAGGATATCTTGGATGTTCTCTTTTCTCTTTCAGAAATATTGGCATTGGAGCATGTTCCATGGCAGCAAGGATCGGAGGGATAGTTGCCCCACAGATTGTTTTCTTGGTAAGACATTCTGACACTGATCCCATAGCAGTGAAAGGGGTGTCATATGTACAACGTGGGACCTGACACATTCTCTATTAAGCTCTGTCGATGTCATGTTTGAATGTTGATACATGTACTTGATTTAGACAACTTAGGCTAAAATAAATAATAGTCTTGGTTCTCAGGCACTGCCCACATCATCATAAAGTTCACTGCATGTTTCGTTTTTATTTCCATTTAAAAAAAAAAATCAAAAAAAAATCCTTAAATATAAAAAGTCCAACGGTAGTCAAATACTGTATTCCAGTAGTTTATTTCCCTGCTTGTATGTGATACAAAAAATTTATTGGCTTCGCCTTACTTCATCATCTTTGTACGGTACTTGAAACAAATAATCACTTTAAGTTTGAGTGAACAAACAACAACTTAGAATAAATCTGTTTTTGTTGTTGTAGGGAGACATACACAAGCCAGTTCCCTTTGCAGTGTTTGGGGTTCTGTCCCTGGTGTGTGGTGTTCTCATGATGTTTATGTCCGAGACCGCCGGGGCTCCTCTCCCTGACCAGCTCCATGTGTCCACGACTCTCTCAATCAATCGCACAGTGCTTGCTCAGGATGCTGACCAGAACAGAACACTGACAGAACATCAGCCACTTGCCGAAGTTAACATGGAAAACTGTTTTAGTGCTGGCCGAGAAGTGTGATAGTCATGGAACCTGTCCAGCCTATTATTCAATGGACTACAGACACCTACAGTCGAACCTCGTTGTGTCAAACTCATGGGGGCCTGGATCTTGGGCTCGAAACATCAGCACGATCAGGGGAACTTTATGCTTGATTTCGATACCTAGGACTCCAAAATGAGTTCGAGAAAACTGGGAATTTGACACATCCAAGTTCAACAAAAAAATATTTGACTGTGTGTTGTATTATTTATTATATTTTTAACCCTTCCTGCAGTACTACCAGTACAAAAAAACACGGCTAACAAAATTGTAAACCATAAGTACAAGAAATATTGACCCATGTGTTGTTCACTCCTTGAATACACGAAACACATAGACCTTCTGAAAATTAAAGTGAATCTTTCAACATGGATTGATTTAGAAAACCAAACTATGAAAGTTGAAATGCCTCCCACCTCACATTTTAAGTAAATTTTGATGAAAATCTGATAGTTTATTGTGGCTTAATGCTATTTTCCTGATGTTGATGTACGTGATGGCAGTCATCAGATCATCACTCTGAACCTTGACCATGTCTCTGAAAGAAGTCTCAGCTTGTGTTGTCTGTATTTTACTTGTTCCATGGTTTTTTAGGATGTTTGTTTCATGACTCCAAGAGGTATTTTACATTTAGGGTCTATTTTTGAAACTGCTGTGTATCGTTTTTCTTTTCCTGCTTGTGGTATATGTTGTAAGCAAAAGCATGATGGCTGCTTCAGTGTAACAGGCTGAGGAACATTCGAGGGAGAGGAGGTAAGAACACCATCCATTGTTACATGTGGCAATAAGCAGGTACAGATTTGTGTTGCTGAAGCTAGTATAGTCATGTTGGAAAGACAATCAAGAGTTTCATATTTTACACATTATTCAGATTACCGTATTCGACGTAATAAGCGCCCAGGGCGCTCTCAAAATTAGAAATAAGGGTCTCTCATAAGAGTTGAAAGATACTTTTCATATTTTATGCTGACAACCTGAAATGTTTATTTACGACAGATAGATACTGTTTTTTTCCAGAATTTAATTGCCCATAATTAAGGGTGCATATAACACATGAGTGCGTATTATACGTGAATAAATAAGTCTTGTGTACATTGATCATAGCTCCAGATAAGCTTTTGGTGTTGTGGGTATTTTACCCATGCATTTTAAAATCATTTGGTATCAGTAATTCTATCTGGGTATTAAAATTTCTGTTACCCACTAGTTTTTACACATGTGGGTATTTAAGTTAAATATTTAAAAACACTATTCATCAAGTCCCTGCAAACTGCTGTCGTTTGGTTTAGAGAGCTTTATAGGACTCAAAAATACCACGATACTTCCACGAGAAAGTGTGATGGCAAATGATCATGATGAAACTGTCATCGTGGAGTTTGGCAAGGTTGACGGAATGCCCGTTTATAATTTCAAAATAAGTTGCTGATTTGCTAATCGAATACGCAGGGTTACTTCACAATATTTTGATGATACGCACAAGTATTATTTTTGTAGCGTATCTGTAATGTTCGTTGCGTATTTGATACGCTTGGATTATATTTTACTGCCTATTTCTGCATTTCTGATGCGTATTTCACGCAGATACGCAGCTTATCTGGAGCTCTAATTGATCAATCGGAAGGGGTGCTAATCGGGATTGTTCACTAGCCAATATCTTTGCAAATGTCGCCGTGGGCGCTTATTAGAGCGGGGCGCTTATTACGTCGAATACGGTTCACCAAAGACTTTACAGAAGTTGCACAGGTGTCTCAGGGAAGTTTTAAAGGTGTGTGTCTCTGTATCTGTGTATAGGTGTGGAACATTCTTAACATCAATGGGGGTTGGAGGAGTTGTCCTATCTATAACTCGGGGTTGGGGTGGGGGTTGGGTTCAAATTTAGGGAGGGGTGCAGGGTGCAATGATTCAAATTCTGAATTCTTTACACCTGGGGGTATGTCTTTCAAAAGGGACAAGAAAGGAAGGGGGTGAGGAAGTATTCTTTTATGCATGTCATTGTCTTCCATATTCCTCTGAATCGCCACCCCTCCACTTGGAGTGAGTGAGTATGTTTTTACGCCACTTTTAGCAATATTCAATCAATATCACGGCGGGGGACACCACAAATGGGCTTCACACATTGTACCCATGTTGGGAATCGAACCTGGGTCTTTGGCGTGACGAGCAAATGCCTCCACCACTAGGCTACCCGACCGCCCCCACTCCACTTGGATCCAGCACCGAGTTGATACACTGTTCAGGCTGTGTTGACAAGTAGAACTGTTTGTATTTCTTTAACACACTCCCTTAACATGGTATTCTTCCTCTGGGGATGAATAGCCTTTGTCCCTCAGATGATTTCACGGTAGAAACAGGTCCCCAGTTCTCCATGCTTGTTGTTGGAGTTCACAAATCTGGTGAAGTTAAGCTACGTCTGTCGCGGAGAGTCCTTGGATGGGGGCCCGTGTTGTGGCAGTTTGGCTCTGACAATGACATAAAATAAGAATGTCCAAATAAATTGGCCTAAAGCACACATTGGTCTTACTTTTAAGCTTCAAAAAGCTTTAAAAAGGCCTTAAACTTGTGTGTTGTAACTGAGTAGCCATGACAACTGTTTGTCCCCATTGACTTCCATCTGCATTTGCTCTTTATGATAAATCAAAACAAGTAAGGTAGTAACTGAGACATTTTATGAAGTATGAAAATGTTATTTTCTTGTGACCTTGTCACCTGTTTTTATCTGTCCAATAACCATGCTAACATTGCAATGTTGTCTTGCTCAGCCGGACAATCTGTCCTCAACACAAAGTGATAGTGGAGCTGTAAGGGAATGTCACACGAGCCTAGCATAATAAATCAGAATTTGTGAAATAGCATATCATGTATGTGTAGCCAATAGAATAATTAGATTGCACTTTGGTGCACTATTCAGTGCACTGGAATCTAATAAGGTAATGGGTACAATCATCATTCTCTTGTCTGTTTGCCATGGCAGCCATTTTGAAAATGAAATGTGTCCCTATCACTAAATTGTTTTTGAATACTTGTCATATGAATGTGTGATTTGACTTGCAGTGTGAATGATGAAGGTAGAAGTGTGAATGATGAAGGTAGAAAACAATGTTACATATATATAACATTGTGTACACCCATGACCTCAGACACTTGTATTTCAGCAGAACTTGTGGGTATAGTCAGCATTGAGGTCAGTGGGTTCAGAATTGAGATCTGATTTTAAACATTGGCACGTGATGATTTCATTTAGTCATTTATTTGGTCATTGCTTCATGCATCCATGTATATTCCCATGTGTAGAACATATGGTTGTATTTATCTTCTTTCATTTGTGCCCTGTTGAATCTAGCTTTCAGGGCCTCTTCTGAAAGAACTAGGTTTAAGGAGCTTGCACTTCCTGTGTGATGTGCTCACAAAGTTCCGATCCAATTTTAGACATGGCTGCCACTCCTTTCATATAGTAATCACATTTGTCCTTTAAATCAGCTTTCAGCAACCCATGCTTGTCGTAATAGCCGACTAACGGGATCAGGTGGTCAGACTCGCTGACTTGGTTGATGCATGTCATGATATCCCAATTGCGTGAATCGATGATCATGATGTCAATCACTGGATTGTCTGGTCCAGACTTGATCATTTACAGACTGCCGTCATATAGCTGGAATATTGCTGAGTGCGGCCCTAAACAACAACCAACCAACCAGTTGCCTTGTATGTCAAGCACAGGTTGCTGGGGACGTGCACTAACTCGGAATCCCCTAGGGAAGTATATTATGAAACTTGGACTGTAATGACATACATCCCATCATGATATAGAGTACAAAGGACATGACTGATTAATGATGGTGTATCTTGACCTGAGACAACCACATCGTGCTGCACCCTTTGAGGACAGCAGTCACTGTGAAACACAATCTATCATTATCAACAAGACTCAAACAGTCTGATTTAAATCATGAAACTTCATGTTTTGGACTATCAGAGCCCCTCTCTCTGTTTTTTCTCCAGTGGGTTTGTTGATAGTAAAAAATTCTGATTCAGCTGATTCCAATGTACATTCTATTATGAGACAAATGTATCTGTAAGTTTATTATATATATATATATATATATATATATATATATATATATATATATATATATATATATATATATATATATATATATATATATGGAGCGTATCTGTGCACATCATGCAGGTGTTGACAAGCATTTACATACCAGAACTTTAATATGAACCATCAAGCTTTGATAAAAAAAATTAGTGTTTTTTCAATGACTTTTTTTAACATTTATTCTGTAAGTTTATTATTGGGGATCCATTGACAAAGTTATTAAAATAAAAACATGTTTTCAGTCACTCGTATGTAGATTTAGTTTTTTTTGTGGTAACTTGTGAAACCACTGTGTTGAATATATAGTATATCATTATTTCGTGAACAGGATCTGATGAAGTGTTCTAATAATATATATCTAATAAATGTTCCAAATATGTATATTAAAATTAATTGTTTTCTCATGGTTGCTCTTTTGATATTTTTTATGAATTTGTTATTTCTGAGTAATTCAAATATGAATTCCATGTATTCAATGAAATATATGAACATATATAGCGGATTATCCTATCATGATATTTGAGAAGCATTGAGTAACCAAGTTGATCACGTGTTGTCACCATAATCACACACTTGCATTACCTAACGGTTTTTGGACAGTGCGGAAGTTGCACCGAAACGCAACGTCAAGTATATATACCCTGTGAACACTTGATCGGTCGCCTGCTCAATTGACGTCAACTCCAAGGAGACCGGGAACTGTCTACAGAGTGAGGTGTCAGGTATGTGTCTATCTCACAGAAACAGTCCAGTTTATTATGTTGCTAGAGGACAGACTATCGTTCCTTAAACATATTATTTATGAACTAGACGGGCTGTCTGGTTGTCGAAGGTATGGGAGTACAAACGTTGGTATATATCTAGGCCAGGTCAGTATCTGGGACACACACACACGTAGATCGGTAGGTGGTGTGTACAAAGGGCGTGTAGCGCCAGGGCATTGCTTATGATTCAGAGTTAAAATGACAACGCAGTATTTTGTGTATCAATATTTGAATTAGAGAGATATCCGGTTGTTTTTTGTTGTGGAGTCATGGTATTTTTCCCTTCACTTTTAGGGGCCGAGATGTTTTTAATTGAACCTGTGGAAAGAATGTTACAATTTTCTCACTATTCACTGAAACATGTACAGATATAGGTGATTTTAGAACAGAACAATGAAATTAATATAATAAGGCATTTTTTCATAAATAAAAGACAATTTTCAACACCATTTGTAGCAATAGCTCAGTAAGCAGTTTTCTTCAAATTGACAGAAAACTGGTCAACTTGACACGTTTGTACTCCCAACTGCTGGAGGAATGTGCTTTTCAATGCCTAACATTGTGGATGATGGACACAAATAGCATAACCTTTTATCTCATCCGACGAACAAAAGAAACGTTACTAAGCTGAAATTTGAAACGAAACCCCGAATAGTGTTAAAAATGGTTTAGAATCAATCGCCCAAACACAACCAAAACACTTTTCTGAGTAATGCACGTGCTACATAACCCAAGATCAGTGGAACTTGAGTTGAAGTGGAACATTTGGTGCATGCCAACCTACAGAGATATGATTTATGAAAGGTACGATGAACTGTTCACACCAAAATAACCTGCTTTGATTAACGCTACAACAGAGAGAACCATGGTCATGGCCCGTTACAGACAGGCTGAGCGGATGGGAGACAGGCCTTGTAGGGGTAGACCTGTCATCACTACCCAGGAAAATCCTCCATCTGAGGAATGACGTCATTAGGCCTGTCAGTCGCTGGACAGTGTCCAGAAGACTGCGTCGGTACAATATCAGAGCTTGCAGACTACTACGAGATTAACGCTGACCCCGGAAGGTCGACATCGATTGGTTCGAACACCGTGGAGCTGATGGACCAGAAGCTGGCAAAGACACAGGGAGAGCAGATGGAAGAGTTTGTGTCATGATAGTTTGGTGCGGCATCTGTTGGCAAGTCAAGACAGGTCTGGACATTTTGGAAGGAAACATCACTGGACAGCTAACACTGACCAATCTCTCTATACTGTTGTACTTCACGTGTGGCATTCTGAAGGAATAAAGGGAGTTTCATGTGCTGATTTCAGTCTGACCCCATCCTCCAAACTGTGGACACAATACCTTCGTTTATTCTCATTCACGGCATGACTTGTGATGATGTTAATTCGCGTTTTTTAACAATACAAGTATCTTCCTTGACATTATTCCCGAGGAACGTTTCTTTGCTCGTCGGTTGAACTGTATGTTTTTATAGATCAAATAATAAGAACACATAAAAAGATTATGCCGTTTTGCGGTTTTAATCATGATTATAACACAAACTCAGAGGCACTGTATTTCTGGAAAAAAACAGTAGCCACAAAAAATATGGACGTGTAGAGTCAGGAAGACAATTCCACATCATGATTGATAATGAACAAGAAAACAGCGTCATCACTATCCCCTGCCACGAGGCACATTAGAATTGTGTTTGTTCATATAGTAGTGAATAAAAACTATAAAAAAGAGTCCTATAAAGCCTTAAGAAGAGATAGGCACTTGGGCTCAGTCAAAACCCACACTTAAAAATGCGTAAAAGGCGACTATGCTTGTCGTAAAAGGCGGGATCGGGTGGTCAGGCTCGCTGACTTTGTTGATACATGTCATCGATCCCAGTTGCGTGGATCGATGCACATGATGTCAATCACTGGATTGTCTGGTCCAGACTCGATTATTTTACAGACCGTCGTCATATAGCTGGAATATTGCAGAGTGCGGCGTTAAACAACAAACAAACAAACAAACAAACAAAACAAAACAAAACATATCACATCCCAGTCACACCAAAATATCTTTCACTCTTCCAGCTACCTAAAATATTGTTTCCCGTATTAAATCAGGTGGTGGGTACAGATCTGATGGTTACACAACGGTTACAGTTCTTGTTGGTGACTCAATATTTGTAAAGAATTTGTGAACCTGAGATGTCCTGTCAAGGCATGGACGCTTACAATAAACCTAAATCAAGCACAAAGCCACATAATGAACATATAGGTATTGTTGCTAACTGTAAACACTGTTTTGAACAGAAAGGATAGGACGATGAAGATGCCATGGATACTTTCGACCATGTTTCCGGCTATCGCAAGCATTCTGAAGTTCGTCCTTATGTTTATTATTATCAACCTATCAAGAATATGTCCACCACTACGAAGAAAATTCCTGGAGACTTGGAAAGTTATTCTTGTGGGAGCATCTGTTAATGAAGAAGAGTTCTATAACAGTTTACTTAGTCTGAAAACTTGGAAACATATACTGATTATGGTGAGAGAACAGCGATTTTCTAATCTTGAACAGAATGACAAAGCTTGTAACCAATACGTCTGGTCAGCAGACGGTAAAAGCAAACACCGTCTGCTCGACTTCATGAAGAAGGGGCGCCCTCTGGTTCTCAACTTTGGAAGCTGCAGCTGACCTCCGTTCATAGCCCAACTGGGCAAGTTCAACGACATTGTTCAAAACTATGGACATATCGCTGACTTTCTTCTGATATACATAAAGGAAGCTCATCCAACAGACGGGTGGCATTTCAAGAGCAACAGTTATTACATTGAATCAGCTAAGAACATGAACGACCGGGTTCAGGCGGCAAAGTTCTTGCGAGATGAGAATGTGCGATGTCCCGTCGTTCTAGATGACATAACAGACGAGGCTGTTAAAACATACTTCTGTTTTCCCGAAAGGGTGTATATCGTGTTGGATGGTGTGATTATGTTTGTTGGGGGAAGAGGTCCAGGCCAATACAACCTTCAACCAGTGAAGGAGTGGCTCATCGCCTACAGTGGGCAGGAGTAGGTAATGTGCCTGAGGACCGACCATTGGATGTACAAAATATACTCACACGCAAAAGAAACGCAAGTCGTGAATGCAGTATACATGTTATTTATTTTCAACAGTACAGACAAGAAATACTAATAGGGCCAGATTGACGAAAATTTGACTGAAGACAGTTTAATGGATTAAAAGGCAGATGACATAATTGTTTTTTTCAAATGTTAAGGGCTTACACAGTTTCGGGTCAATACACAAAATGTCAGTCAATACCTGGTGTGACCACCATTAGCATTGATCACTGCCACACATCTCCTGTATATTGAGTGGATCAGACGATTTGTGAAGGCCCTAGGGATCCTCCTGCACACATCCAGAGCAGCTGTGCGTAGTTCATCGGCAGTTGTAGGGACTGGGCGCACATTGTGCAGACGCCTTTGAACCTCATCCCACAAGTGTTCGATTGGGTTCAGATCAGGGCTGAGGGCTGGCCGCGGTAGAACACGGATGTTGTGTTGTTGCAGAAAGGCCATGGTAGCTCTGGCAGCGTGGAGACGAGCGTTGTCCTGCTGGAAAATGTGTTGTTGATGTTGTGCAAAAAATGGAACAAGGTGGGGTCTGATCGCTTGGTCGATATATACCGCTGAGGAGTGACGCCGTGTCCCCGTCCTTGACCAACATTCAGAAAGCACATGGGTCCAATCCCTGCCCATATCATGACGCTAGGTCCACCCCATGGATCCCTTTCCACAACGTTTCTGTCAGCGAAACGACCACCTCGACGCCGCCAAATTCTGTCTCTTCCGTCTGCATGGGAGACACAAAAGCGACTTTCATCAGAGAAGATGGCACGCCTCCTCTCACGATGACGCCAATTGCGATGACCCTGTGACGTCGTGCTTGTCGATGCCGTGGTTGGAGAACAGGACGACGTGCCGGTCGGCGACATCTGAGGTTGTTGGAACGGAGACGTCGGATCACAGTGTCCCGGCTTATGTGTCGATTATGTGTTCCTATGGTCTGTCGAGCACTTTCACTTGCCTTTAGGGACGGATGTCGCTGGTGTTGAAGGGTAATCTGCCGATCTTGTCGAGGTGTGGTGACCCTAGGACGACCGCTCCGAGGAAGGTCATCTGTGGTCTGTGTAGCATTGTATCGATGCAGGAGACGGTAAATTGTGGTTATGTTAAGTTGAAATGACGGGCAACATCTAGGACAGACTTTCCAGGTTCCAAACGTTAGGCGTGGCATTGTTGACCAATGAGTGGTAGGTCCAAGAATCGGCCAGTTTTATACCCACTACAGTTCGTGACAATTCGTGCATTTTCGATTTCGCGAGAAATGGATGCATGATACCCACATATTCATTAAAATGGTGCGTTTTGGCGATTCGTTTTTTTATGTTGCGTTTTTACTCGGGCCTTCCAAAATGCAACCAAATATATTGATAACACCATCAGGCTTCACTACATGCTAAAACTCAATTTATGGTTCCGTGTTTGTTACCTATTTGCTTAAAACCACTTGCGTTTCTTTTGCGTGTGAGTATATATTGTTCGCTTGACATACTGGATGTTCTGAAAACTTAGTGGGTCCAGGACACACGGTACTGAAGTCGTTTCACTGTGAGAAACAAGGACTACTAGTATATATCCGGTGATAAAATTTCAATTAACATTACTGTATCTAATGTATAATCTCAGTGCCATATTCTGAATATATCTTTTTTTGAAAAGGAAACATTTAACATAATTAACCCATTTGTATCAAAAGAACCGAATTATAATATTTGTTTTGCTGCACTCACGAATACTGACATGTGAGAAGGAGACGGTTTCTTCAATGACGACACAGTCTGAAACTTGTGGTCTGTGTTTGATGGACAGAAATAGATGGACCTCGGATATGACGAATATGGATGGGACAAAATGCCAAGCAGCGATGAACACCAAGAATCTCATACTGGAACCAGTATGAGTGTTGTGTCTTCATCGTCAGCTTTGATCAGACCAGCATGCTTTTGATATAACGAACAAATGTGAAATCCGTTACATCCGAGGTGTGTTGAAGGTGACCTTCTCAACATGACACTATTGGGAGACAATGAACATTGATGTATAATAAAGATGTTGACTGTAGTTGTGTTTCATTTCTCTACCAGCTTCAGGCTTCCTTTATGGATCATTATGATTTCCTTGGTCATAATGATTTCCTTGCATGGAAAATAGGTAATAAGGATTACCTTGGTCATAATGATTTGCTTACATTAATTATCGGTAATAAGGATTTCCTTGGTCATAATGATTTCCTTGCATGGATTAAAGGTAATAAGGATTTCCTTGGGCACAATGATTTCCTTGCAGGAATTATAGGTAATAAGGATTTCCTTGGTCATAATGATTTGCTTACATTGATTATCGGTAATAAGGATTTCCTTGGTCATAATGATTTCCTTGCATGGATTAAAGGTAATAAAGATTTCCTTGGTCATAATGATTTCCTTGCATGGATTATAGGTAATAAGGATTTCCTTGGTTATCATGATTTCCTCGCATGGATTATAGATAATAAGGATTTCCTTGGTCATAATGATTTGCTTACATTGATTATCGGTAATAAGGATTTCCTTGGTCATAATGATTTCCTTGCATGGATTATAGGTAATAAAGATTTCCTTGGTCATAATGATTTCCTTGCATGGATTATCGGTAATAAGGATTTCCTTGAGCACAATGATTTCCTTGCAGGAATTATAGGTAATAAGGATTTCCTTGGTCATAATGATTTGCTTACATTGATTATCGGTAATAAGGATTTCCTTGGGCACAATGATTTCCTTGCAGGAATTATAGGTAATAAGGATTTCCATGGTCATAATGATTTGCTTACATTGATTATCGGTAATAAGGATTTCCTTGGTCATAATGATTTCCTTGCATGGATTATAGGTAATAAAGATTTCCTTGGTCATAATGATTTCCTTGCATGGATTATAGGTAATAAGGATTTCCTTGAGCACAATGATTTCCTTGCAGGAATTATAGGTAATAAGGATTTCCTTGGTCATAATGATTTGCTTACATTGATTATCGGTAATAAGGATTTCCTTGATCATAATGATTTCCTTGCATTGATTATAGGTAATAAGGATTTCCTTGGTCATAATGATTTGCTTACATTGATTATCGGTAATAAGGATTTCCTTGGTCATAATGATTTCCTTGCATGGATTATAGGTAATAAAGATTTCCTTGTTCAAAATGCTTTCCCTGCATGGATTATAGGTAATAAGGATTTCCTTGGTTATCATGATTTCCTCGCATCGATAATAGATAATAAGGATTTCCTTTGTCATAATGATTTCCTGGCATGGATTATAGGTAATAAGGATTTCCTTGGTCCAAACATCGGTACTAATTACACAGAGACAGTGTCTCAGTTTCACACACGGTACTAATTACACAGACATTGTCTCAGTTTCACACACGCTACTAATTACACACAGACAATATCTCGGATTCACACACGGTACTAATTACACAGAGACAATGTCACAGTTTCACACACGGTACTAATTACACAGAGACAATGTCTCAGTTTCACACACGCTACTAATTATACAGAGACAATGTCTCAGTTTCACACACGGTACTAATTACACAGAGACAATGTCTCAGTTTCACACACGCTACTAATTACACAGAGACAATGTCACAGTTTCACACACGGTACTAATTACACAGAGACAATGTCTCAGTTTCACTCACGGTACTAATTACACAGACAATGTCTCAGTTTCACACACGGTACTAATTGCATAGAGTCAATGTCTCAGTTTCACACACGGTACTTATTACACAGAGACAATGTCTCAGTTTCACACACGGTACTAATTACACACAGACAATGTCTCAGTTTCACACACGGTACAAATTACACAGAGACAGTGTCTCAGTTTCACACACGGTACTGATTACACAGACATTGTCTCAGTTTCACACACGGTACTAATTACACACAGACAATATCTCGGATTCACACACGGTACTAATTACACAGAGACAATGTCACAGTTTCACACACGGTACTAATTACACAGAGACAATGTCTCAGTTTCACACACGGTACTAATTACACAGAGACAGTGTCTCAGTTCCACACACGGTACTGATTACACAGACATTGTCTCAGTTTCACACACGGTACTAATTACACACAGACAATATCTCGGATTCACACACGGTACTAATTACACAGAGACAATGTCACAGTTTCACACACGGTACTAATTGCATAGAGACAATGTCTCAATTTCACACACGGTACTTATTACACAGAGACAATGTCTCAGTTTCACACACGGTACTAATTACACACAGACAATGTCTCAGTTTCACACACGGTACTTATTACACAGAGACAGTGTCTCAGTTTCACACACGGTACTGATTACACAGACATTGTCTCAGTTTCACACACGGTACTAATTACACACAGACAATATCTCGGATTCACACACGGTACTAATTACACAGAGACAATGTCACAGTTTCACACACGGTACTAATTACACAGAGACAGTGTCTCAGTTTCACACACGCTACTAATTATACAGAGACAATGTCTCAGTTTTACACACGGTACTAATTACACAGAGACAATGTCTCAGTTTCACACACGCTACTAATTACACAGAGGCAATGTCACAGTTTCACACACGGTACTAATTACACACAGACAATGTCTCAGTTTCACACACGGTACTAATTACACAGACAATGTCTCAGTTTCACACACGGTACTAATTGCATAGAGACAATGTCTCAGTTTCACACACGGTACTTATTACACAGAGACAATGTCTCAGTTTCACACGGTACTAATTACACACAGACAATGTCTCAGTTTCACACACGGTACTAATTACACAGAGACAGTGTCTCAGTTTCACACACGGTACTAATTACACAGAGACAATGTCTCAGTTTCACACACGGTACTAATTGCATAGAGACAATGTCTCAGTTTCACACACGGTACTAATTACACAGAGACAATGTCTCAGTTTCACACACGGTACTTATTACACGGAGACAATGTCTCAGTTTCACACACGGTACTAATTACACGGAGACAATGTCTGAATTTAAAACAAGGTACTAGTTGTAAAGGTTCGACCTTGAGCGTCGACGTAACACGCACGTACACACTGACGTTATCTGTTGCCAAATCCGGCCTGAAATGAACAAGGCTGGATCCCTTAAAAATTAGTTTAAAAGCTAACGCATTTTAACCGGTGGGTGGGAGACTAGAATAAGTCTCAGTATTGTCTTTGGTAGACAGCAAGTTGATGGAGTAAATGTGTGAATGAATGTTCTTTAATACTACATGAGTAATTCAAATATGTATTCCATGTATTCAATCAAATGTACTTATAGAAACATATGAACATATATAACAGATTATCCTATCATGATATTTTAGGAGTATTGAGTAAACAAGTTGATCACAGCAAGTGTTGTCACCATAATCACACACCTGCATTACCTAACGGTTTTCGGACAGTGTGGAAGTTGCACTGAAACGCAACGTCTAGCACATACCCTCTGAAATACATTACAGGTCGGCTGGTCACTGACTTGAACTCCGAGTAGGCCGGGAACTGTCTACAGATTGAGGTACCTAAGGTATGTGTCCATCTCACACAGAAACAGTCCAGTTTATTGCGTTGCTAGAGGACAGACTAACGTTCATGAAACGATTATTTATAAACTCTTTGAGCTGGCTGGTTGATGACAGGACACTCGGTCTATAGGACATATATAATAGGTCAGTAGGTGCATATGATCCCCTCCAAAAGTTATGTATGTATGCAATGCCTCTTAATCCTTTTAATCATATATATTCTAAGGGGGGATACAGGCGCAAGTCTTACCTACTTCGGTCGGTAGGTAACAGTCGACCATATATATTGACCCGACACTTTCAAAGAAATCAGCCATTGTGGCATTGGTTACGCAATCGCGACAGGTTTAGATCCCGACGACACCCAGCTGGCTTCTCAATGTAGAACTAGCTGAGCGCGGGGATCTGTACGGCACTCCATTCAGTCTGGCGTAGGTTCAGTGAGGACTTTAGCACACTTCTATATCTGCGATTGGTTACATATCATGACAAAAGTAAAACGTGTACCAGTCTCTCCCTTATTCACTTATCTCCCAATATGTTTACTTATATCAGCTAAGGTTAACTTCGAGTCAAGATTTTTCAAATTGAAAAAGGAAATCGATACGAGCGTAAGACCACGATGAACGAATGCAGGGAAAGGCAGCAGTAGTTTCACCTGACCTCTCTGCGCCTCACCCAGGTCACAGAACCATGTAACACATAATAATAACAAACTAACTCGCCGAGTTTGTTATTATTATCAGTTAGATAGTCTTGTGCCCAGGTGTACATGCGGGGCCGCGGGTGGCCTAGTCGCTGTGCAGAGTTGCGTCCCTTAGGCGTGCCAGAAACCTGTGATCATTGGTTCAAAATATCAGGTTAGCCATTGTTATGTTTCTTGGTTTATCAGCACCATTCCAATGCTCGTAGGTTTCACTAAAGTGGTAAACGTCTAAGCATTGCATGACTTCTCCCACATCAAGCTGAGACACTGTGATGTAACCGAGATCCAGTTCAAAGGGGCGTTCCACCTAACTCACTCACCTAAGACGCACATGCTGCGTTTCTCCACCTGGATGAGATGAGCAGATCCAAAGCCTCGCATTATACCTATTGTCAGTCGAATTACATACCAGTGAGTATGACTTTCCTCCGTACGTATAAATCTTCCAACTATATCACCGCGGGAGGCCCCAACAATGGACAGAGTCGGATGGACAGCCTTGCGATTAAAGCGTTGCTTCGTCAAGCCAGAGACCCAGGTTCTATTCCTCAACATGGTGTGAATCCTATTCCTGGTGTCCCCTGTCGTGATGTGGGTAATGTAATGTTGTGTATCGAACCCGGGTTAGTGGCGTGAGAAGTCAAGATATTAACCATGAGGCTACCCGCTGCTTTGAAACAAGATGTTGTGAGATGATCACGAGGAACGAAACCAGGAATTCGAATGACTCACCAGAACGTTTATTTTTAAACATTACTAAAGATGAGATCCTATCTTTTACATCATGTTGTTATAGATTCATCTGAAAGGAGCTCCGTTTGGAGCTTTAGTTTCATAGTTGAATATGTATTTTACAACTCAACCACGGACGTGGGGACATAACTGTGGGGACACATTGATACGTGCATGAGTGATCTTGAAATATGACTGATGTTAAGGTCATTTTAGCTAAGCTCGGGAATATACGAGAACTATTTGATGACATCATTGTTCAGGGCCGGTTTCTGAGATGTAAAACTGCGGAGTATTAAGATTCAGTAGGAACGTGCCTCCGTGGAGATATCAGTTCAGAGTACTGAAGATGCTCAAGCTCGGTGACTTGCTTCATTGCCCGTCATCGTGCCCCGATCTTGCTCATATTATCTATCACTGGCTTGTCTGGTCCAAATGTCATATAGCTGGGATATGTCCTGGTACGGCGTTAAATAACAATAACAACAACATACGTACGTGTTTTGTCGTAGCGGAACGTGTCAGAACGTTTCTAGACAATTTACATAAGAGCCAACATTTTCAGTAATTCAAAAGTTTCACTTTCATATATTCCATGCTGTTCCAGTTATTTCTTTCCAAAATAAACTTCATCGACTTCGTGGTCCCAGAAATGTTTGACCACACCCGCTTAAATAGGTCCTCGGTAAGGTGAGCTAAAGAAATCTGATTCCTCATTCTATTGATCAAAATGAATATGTTTCTTTTTTAAAGGAACAAAATAGCATCTCGGATTCTGAAGACGATCTGGGCAATCGTGGCTGTACTGTTCAGGTTTCTAACGGCAGTTATTGTGGTTAACATCGGAAAAATATGTCCCCGGATCATTAGGGGGTGCAGAAAAAACCCTTGAAGGTTCCTCAGTGAGTGGAGCGGACCTGTATGAGACGTTGCTCATGCCTAAAAACTGGAAACTGATTCTACAGAAATGGTTTCTAGACGTAGCTTTGTACCCAGATGAGAATGGTAAAGTGCCAGATGCAGTTGTCTGGTCAGCAGACGGCAAAACTAAACACCATCTGGTTGACTTCATGAAGAATTGGCGCCCTCTGGTTTTCAACTTTGGAAGCTGTAGCTGACCTCCCTTTATGGCCAAGTTCAACGACATTGTTCAAAACTATGGACATATCGCTGACTTTCTTCTGATATACATAAAGGAAGCTTATCCAACAGACGGGTGGCATTTCAAGAGCAACAGTTATTACATTGAATCAGCTAAGAACATGAACGACCGGGTTCAGGCGGCAAAGTTCTTGCGAGATGAGAATGTGCGATGTCCCGTCGTTCTAGATAACATAACAGACGAGGCTGTTAAAACATACTTCTGTTTTCCCGAAAGGGTGTACATCGTGTTGGATGGTGTGATTATGTTTGTTGGGGGAAGAGGCCCAGGCCAATACAACCTTCAACCAGTGAAAGAGTGGCTCATCGCCTACAGTGGGCAGGAGTAGGTAATGTGCCTGAGGACCGACCATTGGATGTACACAATATACTCACACGCAAAAGAAACTTTCTTCTGATATACATAAAGGAAGCTCATCCAACAGACGGGTGGCACTTTAGGAGTAATAAGTACCAAATAGAAACCGTCCAATGTATGGACGACCGAGTAGGGGCGGCCATGTTGTTAAGTGACGATAATTTGAGATGCCCTATCATTCTGGATGACATAACAGATGAAGCTTGTATATTGAGAGGCTGTATATTGTCCTAGATGGCGTTGTGGTGTTCGCTGGAGGAAGGGGCCCGAGATAATACAATACCAAACTCGTGGACGACTGGCTTAGCGCCTACAGAGGGCTCTAGTTGAAACATGCGCACCCCTGCACCTTGTCTCTCGTCTGTACGCATAGTATATAATCAACATTTAAACTCGTATCCCCGTCTCAGCTATCGCATCCCATATAGTCCCTACATTCTAATCTGAAATTAAAAGACTTGGGGTTTCTTTAATACTTGCAGGTCCCTTGTATAATGATTTCATTTTAACGTTATTCATAAGTTTACCACAGGGACTCTTATGTTAGTCTACCTGCATCTGTCCTCTCTAGATCCGCGTATATCGTGGAGTCCGCCATACTGTGGTTCGCCAGACCCAGGTTCCACTGTTTTGAGGCCACCGTGATATAACTGGAACATTGGGAACTGCGGCGTCAAACACACTCCAGCCTATCTCAGTTTAGAAATAAGGCTGCAGTTTAAACAATGGCATGCTAATTCGCTTATGTGGGTTTCAACACTTTGAACGTGTAGAGATTTCAGGTGTGACTTCAGCACGTATTCTGGTGTCAGTTGACAGCACCGCGTATGACCATGTGACCGGAAATATCGGGGTCACGTGTGATGTCTGGAGAGCTGTCATCTGGCATCACAAGGTGTAAACGATCGTCTGGTCTAGTTTCGTCCAGTATTATCAAAATAATGTTGAACATGAAAATGATATAAAAATTCAGAATCCCAGAAACCTGTTCTCTCAATCATTTGTGTTTAGGTGGCATCACCGTTATTCTGGCTCACTGAGCAACACAACTGCTTTGCAAGCGTATCTCACCATCAGACCGCTGTTTTTTTATGTTTTCCATAAAATTTCGACTGTCATTTGATCTGCGAACCAACATTTATGAAACCGCTATTATAAACGTTAATCTCTTGAGGTGGATGCTGCGGTTATTTCCGAACATATTATCAACCAAACATATTGAATGACCACGGGTATTTACCTGAGTATACATGAACAAAGTCAATATGTTTTAAACCAATACACATTTTATTGAGATTGAAAAGTTACAATGACGTGAAGTGATTTCTATGGAATCACAGAAGGGACACTGTCGCGTTGTGGCATTGTCGCCCTTCCAAAAACAAACAAAAGTGTGAAAATTAACCAAAGCGCGACAACGCCACAATTTTTCAAGGTCAAAGTATTTTGCGTTGTCGTATTGTCATTTTGATATTGTCGTGTTGTCGCCCTTTTCGATTGATTGTGCGCATGTGTAGTAAGTGAATTAATGGTTATACTCCTTTTCTAACTCCTGTGGTCTTTTGTTAGCTCCAATGGTTCTAAAGCCAAAGTCGCAATGACAATATGGTTTTCTTTTCTCAAAATGAAAACAAATCTGTCAGCATTACTTAAGAGTGAGTGAATGAGTATGGTTTTACGCCGTTTTAAGCAATATTCCAGCAATATCACGGCGGGGAACACCAGATGTGGGCTTCACACATTGTACCCTTGTCGGGAATCGAACCCGGGTCTTCGGCGTGGCGAGCGAACGCTTTAACCACTAGGCTACCCGACCGCCCCCATTACTCCGTTCATTTATCTTTATTGTCTGTGCCGGTTTTCATAACCAAACGTATTTTCACAGCCAGAAACAAACACTTTGCATTTCCATTTAATTTAATCTCGGTCTCCGACATCTCTTTTCAAAGGACACACGGTTGGCCCTGTCGTTTTAGACGGCGCAGTTCGCTGTGCGTCTCCTAGACGTACCAGAAAACTATGATCGCTGACACACTTAACTGAAATTTTGTTCAAAGCGGCGTTAAACTAGAGGTCACGTTCGTCACGAAGAGTCCATGGATGGGTGACCATGTTCGGCTGCTTGGCTCCTGAGAAGCACACGTAACGCATATGGTGTCTCTTTGGGAAAGTGACTTTGTTCGAAATATGCTACTATTCAACCAGCAGTAAATGGGTACCCGGTAAGATGATATGACAATGTGGCGCTTAACCTTGGAGATGAGAATGACTGGGGTAATAATACGCTTTGAGCATGATATTCAGCATCGAAAAAGTGCCATACAGATGGACTATTATTATAAGTAAACTCGCTCACTCCCTCAAGTCGATGAATCCGTTGTGAATAGTGGCGTTCCCTATGAGCGTGTGTTCGTTTTGATTTTGTTTCTTGTTTTGGACCTATCTCACGTCCGGCTTTCCTCCCACATCCATCTTCCCGAGGCAAGAGAGTTTACTGACTTTATAAGTCCAGTTTCCAGACTTGCCGAACTAGGCTGGAATTACTTGGCTCGATCGTAGCGCCACCAGTGGCTATTACCAGTTATGTCCCTTCTAAGCCTCTCCTATGAACCAATCAGATTCCACCTATTGTATCACTTGCGTTTGCTTCATGCAAAATGGTGGCGCTCGGTCAGGACGATCTGATCGATAATCAAGATCTATATTGTGATAAAACGGATCTTACATCGCGAAATGCATCAAATTACGTGAGCACCTTGATTAAAAACATGAGAAGATTTCAAAATATCTGCTGACAACTAGTTGGCGGTGCTTTGCAAATCCTGCTATCGACCGAAATCTGCACGACAGATTACGAACCGGATTTCAATTTCGGTGCGCGATTTTGACTGGACTATGCATAGACTCGTTAGTCCAGCCAAAATGTAACTCCATAATACCAGCCTTGTTCGGCAAGGGTGGAAACTGGACTTTAAAAGTCAGTTGACTCTTTTGCCTCGGGAAGATGCCCACATCAAGCTGACAAGCTGTGAAATACACATATAACCATAGAAACAGGGCAGTGCTTGTTTTGTTCTGGCGTCATATGTAGCTACACACATGACCATGGTGACAGGGCAGTGCTGGTTTTGTTCTGGCGTCATATGTAGCTACACACATAACCATAGTGACAGGGCAGTGCTTGTTTTGTTCTGGCGTCATATGTAGCTACACATAACCATAGTGACAGGGCAGTGCTGGTTTTGTTCTGGCGTCATATGTAGCTACACATAACCATAGTGACAGGGCAGTGCTTGTTTTGTTCTGGTGTCATATGTAGCTACACACATAACCATAGTGACAGGGCAGTGCTGGTTTTGTTCTGGCGTCATATGTAGCTACACATAACCATAGTGACAGGGCAGTGCTTGTTTTGTTCTGGCGTCATACGTAGCTACACATAACCATAGTGACAGGGCAGTGCTGGTTTTGTTCTGACGTCATATGTAGCAACACATAACCATAGTGACAGGGCAGTGCTTGTTTTGTTCTGACGTCATATGTAGCTACACATTACCATAGTGACAGGGCAGTGCTGGTTTTGTTCTGACGTCATATGTAGCTACACACATGACCATGGTGACAGGGCAGTGCTGGTTTTGTTCTGGCGTCATATGTAGCAACACATAACCATAGTGACAGGGCAGTGCTTGTTTTGTTCTGGCGTCATATGTAGCAACACATAACCATAGTGACAGGGCAGTGCTGGTTTTGTTCTGGCGTCATATGTAGCTACACATAACCATAATGACAGGGCAGTGCTGGTTTTGTTCTGACGTCATATGTAGCTACACATAACCATAGTGACAGGGCAGTGCTGGTTTTGTTCTGACGTCATATGTAGCTACACACATGACCATGGTGACAGGGCAGTGCTTGTTTTGTTCTGGCGTCATATGTAGCAACACATAACCATAGTGACAGGGCAGTGCTTGTTTTGTTCTGGCGTCATATGTAGCTACACATAACCATAGTGACAGGGCAGTGCTGGTTTTGTTCTGGCGTCATATGTAGCTACACATAACCATAGTGACAGGACAGTGCTTGTTTTGTTCTGGCGTCATATGTAGCTACACATAACCATAGTGACAGGGCAGTGCTGGTTTTGTTCTGGCGTCATATGTAGCTACACATAACCATAGTGACAGGACAGTGCTGGTTTTGTTCTGGCGTCATATGTAGCTACACATAACCATAGTGACAGGGCAGTGCTTGTTTTGTTCTGGCGTCATACGTAGCTACACACATGACCATGGTGACAGGGCAGTGCTGGTTTTGTTCTGGCGTCATATGTAGCTTTACATATAACATCTATTTTAATACTTTGGGGTAAGACACTTAGGCAAGATGTAGGCGTCCCCATCGACACCAATGGTGCTCTCCTTCTTGCCGATCTGTTTCTTTATGCAAATGACTTCGACTTTCCAGTAGTCAATATCCCTTCGTGTCAAGCAATATTCCAGCAGCTCCAGTCCTTGTTATCAACATTTCACAATGCCTTAGGTACAATCGAGCATGCTCTTTCGTGGAAGATCAGAATGAGCGTCATTGGACTCTTGCTCAGAAGTGTGATTGATCGAGGTTACAACATTCAAGGTTTTATGGTAGACATGTGGAGGACATTTGACGCGTAGGTGACTGAAATGATTTCCGATGCAATTCCCTATTTTGACTTGTACAATACGTTCCCGTGCTTGTTAAGGCGAACAATTGGCTTGCCTTTGCACGTGTTTGTGACGGGTGCCACTGGTGGAACAGGATACATCTGGTATCATGACTGTTTGATAGTGATTCATTAACACATGCTCATGATATAGTCGGAATCATACAATTGACTCTGCTTTTGGCAGATATTTCTTACACATGAAAATAAATAACAGATATCGTATCACGGTATATTGAGAAGCATTGATTGTCAAAGGTCTGAGTAAACAAGTTGATCAAAGTGAGTCTTGACAACATAATCACTTTCCTGCATTACTTTACGGTTTTCGGACAGTGCGGAAGTCGAACCGAAACGCAACGTCAAGTACATACCCACTCAACAACTTACTGGTCGGCCAATCACTTACTCCGAGTTGGCCGGGAACTGTCGAGGTATGTGTCCATCTCGCACAGAAACAGTGCAGTTTATTACGTTGTTAGAGGACAGACTCACGTTCATGATTTGATTGTTTGTTTGTTGTTTAACGCCGCACCCAGCATATTCCAGCTTTATGACGGCGGTCTAAAAATAATAGAGTCTGGACCAGACAATCCAGTAATTTACATCATGAGCATCGATCCATGCAATTGGGATACGATGACATGTATCAAACAAGTCAGCGAGTCTGACCACACACTTTTGTTAGTCGCCTCTTACGACAAGCATAGTCTCCTTTTATGCTGAAGACCTATTCTACCCCAACGTTCATGAAACGATTATTTAAAAACTATAAGATTGGTCTGGTTGATCACCAAACGGTGGTTTTTATTCAGGTCAGGTCGGCATATAGGAGATATATAATAGGTCAGTAGGTGGTGTCTACAAAGGCCGGAAAGCGCCAATGCATTATGTGTAGCTCACGCCAATGCAGTAATAAGTGTATCAATATTTAGATAAGTATCACATTCAGTTAAAAAAAATGTACAAATTACAAATGTCTCAGTTTACACACGGTACGAATTACACAGAGACAGTGTCTCAGTTTCACGCACAGTACTAATTACACAGAGACAATGTCTCAGTATAGCACACGGTACAAATTATACAGAGACAATGTCACAGTTTCACACACGGTATTAATTACACAGAGACAATATCTCAGTTTCACACACGGTACTAATTACACAGAGACAATGTCTCAGTATAGCACACGGTACAAATTACACAGAGACAGTGTCTCAGTATAGCACACGGTACTTATCACACAGAGATAATATATCAGTTTCACACACGGTA